ATTCTGCGAATATGTAAAAGAATACAGATGGTTTTTCTCTCCAGATTGGTTGCGGAATTCATCGTTGATGATTCTTCAAAGACAAAATCGAAGAACACAAACCGTGTGGACACGAGATGAAGGGCGGTCCGGAGCGTACGACGAATTTCAAGACGAGGCCTCGGGCACACCCACCACCTTTAGGGTTAGCGAGCAAAGGTGTCTAGGTGTCATCGACAGACACTTTTTGTGCCTTCGGTGGAAAACAAGTTTGGTTTCGCCCCTCGTTGACTGCAAACTCGATTGAATGCAGCGCGGAGAAACCTCCTTTTCCATGTTCCTCATCTGGTTCAGCTCCGTGATCTCGACTCTGTGGTCAGCGGTCATACCCGTCAGCGGAAGAAACGATTTCCCCTTCCTCTCCCATATCTTAGCACCATACGTCCTCCATGAAGAAGGTTGCGACTTGCGACTCCATTAATCTGTAGCGGGAGGCTCATCCTCAGAATGATTCGTGGGAGAGGCAAATCCATGGGACGCCCTTGTTCTCGATTTTTCGACGATTGTGAGAATTCGGAGCGATTCTGAGGATCACGATTAGCGTAGAAATTTGCTTGTGTCTTATCCAGGGCCATTCAGAGCCAGTGAGACTCGCGGTGATAGAACGCCTACGAGAGTGGTGTTTTGTTACTCGCGAGGAATCGTGAAATGTTTTATTAACGGTGTCATTATGAAGTAGGCGAAGCATTATCGGTGCCGCAACTTTGCCCTCTCCGCGTAGTTCGATCGAAGTCGAACGAGCGCGCGCCAAAAGATGGCCTCGTTTTAATATATCTTCATTTGCGACCGAGTCGACGCTGTGCGCTTCGGACTGCATCCCTGTTCATGTTTCTCCTCGAAGGTCCTCCGCCGCTTGGAAGGGGAGTCATCTCTCGAAGCTGGGGGCGGGCTGACTATTTGGACGACCCGAAAATGAGAACTCAGAGCTCCCGCGCAGAACTGACGGCCTACAGCCCACGACTTTATGATGCACTCTAGCAGCCGGCGAGAAGCTTTAATAAAAGGCCACATGCTTAATACTTCACTTATATACTGTCACTTATAGCAGATCGACCATTATAGGAGATCGATCGCCGGATGGCTCGGTGACTTGCTCGGCCGTTGCCGCCACTGCATAAGTGCCAGGAATCCGAAAGTATGTCTAGGTGTCGTCTCCAACGACCAAACGCTTGTTGTCGTCCGGAATGCTGACCGGATCCTTGGCGACACGACAAGACAACTCCAATCGAAAGCAGCTCGTCGAAGCGTTCTCGATCACGCGCATACCCTCCCCCTAGTATAGCTGTGCAGCGCCTGTCTTGTGGCTCCTCTCGCGCTAATTCACAAACAGACGATCGACTCGGAGAACGCTCTCAGATGGAGAGACGCTAAGTGAAATCGTTCGATAATTGAGTTTGAAGCGTTTAGTTCGATTCGATGGAGCCCGGCACGCAAAGTCGGAATTATTCCCTGCGTCAAACACATCGTGTATCAAACAGAGCAACTTATCGACAGAGATTCGGGTCTGCAGTCCGCTGCGGGAGACGATTCGGTACCGCGAAGATATGGTCGGAATAAGTTCATTCAGAAAACGAGGGGAAGCTAAATCTATTTGCCCGTTGATGTGAGGGTGGAACGCTCATTGCCGATAAAGTGGTGAACGCACTCACTGCAAGAGGTGTTGGGTGGGGGAAGGGGGAAGTTCCCGATATTTCTGGCGACGCCGACGTGAGTAGCCATCCCTGCTGACCCAGGTCAGTATTTCCATCCGAAAAACCAAGCGGTGAACTACGACGAGCTTCAGCATGCGGGCCGAACCCCAGAGGCCGAATGATCCGCCAAGGACCATTGATTCCATACAAGAGAAGTATACAGATAAACATTGTGTAGACACGCCGGTTTGTTGTGCCATTCCCATCCTGTGAGTTTGCGGACGAGTAAGTGAGGGGAAGAGGACGTGAGAAAGAGACCGAGCCACAGGAACTGTTAACCACAGTCGAACGAAAGGATGTCCTCGGGCAAGCTGCAACCAATAACCAACACACTACTGAACCGCCCAAAAAAGCTCGCTTACACCGCTGATAGGGACATCGCCCGAGGGAACAACAAGGGAGTTATCTACCCAGCCGGCCCGTCCAGCGATTCGCGGCTGCACTTGGCGTAAAAACGTCTCACGGTAACAGATGCCGTTCCCGGATCTAATCCACGGACGGCTCATTCGATCCCTGCCGAACTTTCTTCTCTCGGCTGTGAGGACGCGTGACTGACCGAGCATCGACTCGATTGCGATCATCGCGGGCAGAGATTCCCCCTTACGCTCTTCCGCTCTCGATAGAAAGTGTTGCCTCTTTCAAATGTCAACCTCCGATAAGAGGTGCATCATGCAAACTTACTTAAGGGGCTTCTCCGAAAGGGGAGGAGTTCCTTGAAATCAGTCCGCTCGACAGCGAGGAGAACGCAACAAATGTTATTCGTTGCGAGAAGGGGAGAGTTCGAGAGGGAAAATCGGAGAGTGCCTAGACCGGGCTGCTCCTTTGACTCGATGGGGGGGTTGGCATCAGCTCGATTCATCCACCCTCCTTTCCGCGGCGTCTTTCTCTTTGATTCGAACACAACACCATAGTATTCAATAGCTATTCAACGACTCTCCCCGCGAGCATTCGAGCTCTTAGCTCCGAAGTTCTGTGCGCGAAGCTCCCCCTTATCAATGATAATAATAATTGACCACTCGGATCTCGGTATCCGTCCGATGCCCTGCGACGATTTCTCGCTGAACCAAATCCCGCGGTCGGGCGGGAGGAATAATTCATTTCGTCCAATTCGCCGTCCATTTACTTCGCCTTCTGATCGCCTTTGGTACCTCTGAATTTCCCCGATGTCTCGAGCGCGAAATTCGCTCCAATTCCGTAAACGAGTTGGAGCTCCTGCCCGAGAATGTTCGGAGCTGACCATTGGCCATCGGATCATGCTCGCTGTCTCCGGAGAGATCATCCGGAGAGTCTCGCGGGGAAATCTTTGACGCTCTCTGCACCGAGCGCGGTGGCATCGCCGCTTATCGTGCGGTGTGCTGCTCGTGTATGGAGAGGAAGTGGTGTGAGTTCGTCTGTTGGCGTTCGTTCGTTTGTTTGTTGTTTGTTCGCTTGTTTATTGTCATCGGTCGCTCCATTCGTTCGTTCGGTCGGTCGGTCGCTCGGTCGACGGCAGTGAGAGAACAATCTGAAGCTCAATGTGTCGCTCGAAGCTAGTTTGCCTGCATGCCTGCCTGCCCGCTCGTTCGGCCGCCGACACTCCGCAGCCCTACCATCGAGCGAGCGAGCGAGCGAGCAACCCATTCTCCTTAGCCCGTACGGACGAAAACGCCGGAGGCAGAGCCGAGATCATGATGCATTTCCGGTGTTCTTTTCGCTTCCACCGAAAGCAGCCGACCGACCGACTGACTGAATGCAGAAGAAGCTGATAATAATGAAACGAGCTCACTCGCTTTGGCTGCTGTTTGCTCGCTAGACAAGCAAGATTATTTTGCCTACTAGGTCGACTCGATGGGTTTTTCGTCCGTTCACCGCCTCTGTCCAGCCGCTCCAGTGAGAATTCAACAATCCCGGGGACATCGGGGAAGATCTCCGACCGTGAGGAACATCCGGAAATTTGGGAGGGCAATCATGGGGATCTGTCGCTCCGTACGGTCTGTCGAAACTTTGACGTTATCACACGGGGACGTGAATTCTTGAGACGTCCCCCTGACAGAACTACCGACGACGCGTCGCCGACGTTGAATTCAAATTGTTCCACCCCTCACTGAGGGATGATCCCACTCCAACCTGGGCAGCCCTTCGTCTCCAGTGAGCTCACCGCGAGACATCTTGGAAATCTGACAAATCACGGAAGTTACTGAAAAGCAAACACATCCAGGCGGAACCATCCCGGGAATCTAAGAGACGCCATACCGCGCCCGGAAATCCCCGCTGCTGAACAGGCTGTGCGTCGTACTGGTCCGTATTGAGCTCCTCCTCTCCCAACGCAATCGGATCCGGGCTTGAAACGTAACAGACGTCCTGCGAGAACCTTTGTTATGATTCCGTTTCATAATTCGAACGACGTTGAGCTTTTCAGAGTTTCAGGATTGGGTGGGAGTTTGTAGGAGGAGCGTCGAGAGGGCAGAGGGCAAAGGTCGCCAGGGGCGCCAATCCGCACTCGGGACAGCCGCACGAGCCAATGGCAGCCCTCAGGAGGATGGCGAAGGAGGTCACAGGGTTAACTCAGGAGGGCAGCTGTAGCACTGCCTGCTCCGGCGTGCATCCCACGTGTGGCTCTCGGTCTCACCTTCTTTCCTCATTCCATGAATTAATATGTTGAGGATACCATGGAAAATCATCGTTCTCCCCAATGGATCATGGCTGAAAAACCGTGCCTTGAACTGAATATCGTAGGCTCCCGGGACAGGTATGAAGTTTTCTGTTCTCGGCGAAAATATTTCGGACGATTGAGGATTATAGCAGTGTCGATTCCGCGTCTGCAGAACCCGAAATCGTTCCACCTCCTCGCTACATCGGACGACGCTATCCACAGGGGTCAATGAGGAAATCTCTCGATCGGAAATCCCGGCGAAATGCTGGCTTGTCGGAACTCGATCTTCGAATCGAGGGCGGGTATCTATGGGAATAGAAATGTGTCGGGAGTCGGGAGCATTCAGGCTGAATTAATTCAAGGTTCGAATACGGAGGGCCGAAAAATCGATTCCAGAGTATACAAGCAGTGCATCGGACTTGACGTCCGATCTTTGATGGAGTGCATCGTGTTCGAGCAGAGGATAGAATCGCTTTTTTTCGAAATCGAATTTTCGTCGCTCCCAAAACAAAACTTCGTTTCCATTCGCGCTGCTAATTCCTCGAACCAATTGACTACCCTTACAAGAAAATTCATCGCTGGTGACCCTGTGGCTCCAAGAGCAAAGGAAGTGAGCTACAGTGTCGAAATAGAACGGAATTCCGGGCAAGCTCGTCAGCACAGAACCGACAAAACACCGTCGATGATGTCAGTTGTACTCCGAGTGGACAAGTCAGAAGATCTCGGAGAGAAACTCCTCTCGCGGCTCCGGGGCGGTGAGCCTCAGAGCGATACGATCCAGTTCATTTGTGGTGATTCCACAACTCGTGAAGCTCACACGGCTGTTCTCGCCGTACGGTCGCCGTACTTCGCCAAAGTGCTGAAAGACGTGCCCCCGGGTCAAACGGTCGAAGTGGATTTTTTCGGTGAAGTTATGGATCTCATCTTCGAGCACATTTATACGGGCAAGCCGCTCATTGTACGAGTGGAGCAAACTGTCGAGCTCTACGCCGCGGCCACAAAGTTTCATTTATACGATTTGAAGGAGGATATTCGAAAGTTCTTGCTACAGTCGATGGACAAATGTCTGGAAACCGAAAGTTTCCTCAAGCACGATAAAGTTGACGACGTATATCAACTCACCGATATATTCAATCACCCCGAGCTCAAGTGCGACCGGATCTCTTTGATTCAGCGCATCACACAGTGGGCGCTACGGACGTCCATAGAAGACATCAGACCAATCGTGGACACGATATCGAAGCCGGACCAGCCATCGAGGAGAGCTGTTCGGAATTTCCGACGCATTTTGAGCCCCGTTGCGGTCTTCGCACATGTTCTGAGGCGCTTGATCCAATGGAGCGGTAGAAATTGGATATCTGTATCGATAGTATCATTCATCGCAATTCTCTTGCGAGACGAGAGGATCTGTCTGAGAATGATGAATTGAATAGGGCTAGTCTACTGATAGGAGAAAAGATTTGACCAATAAAACTCAATGCTGGAAAATTCACTCCTCAGTCTCGCTCATAACCGACATCCAGACTTCGACAAGGAGTCACAGTCTGCGCTGGAGAATCCCCTCTATCCTTCGTTGATTCTATCCGAATCCGCGGAGCCGCTCGCCGTGATTCTCCGATAGAATGCCTACGATGTGTTTTGCCGCGTGTGATTCCTCTACGAGAACGCCCTGGCGGAAGTGACTCCTCTTCGCGCGAAAGGGGTGGTTCGCGCGGCTTGGGCTCCTTTTGGGGCGCATCCACTTCCTCCGGGGCATTTTTTCTCGTGCTCCGAAATTGATGAAGTGCAAATTGGACCCCGCGAGCTTCCATTAAGAAAGCATTAGTTGTGATAAGGGGTTCGTCTCGCTCGCCCAGACTGAGACACACGCGAAAGGGTTGATAAGTCCGACGCGGTGATTTTTCCGCGGGCGACGATTCAGCAACGACGGTCGCAACCGCCACCGTCGCTGCAAACGCCACTAGCGGTAGCAGCAAGACGGAGTCACAGACAATGATGACTTTTAGATGAAAGCCCACCAACGCATAATGAGCTTAACTCATTTTATGTTTCGACCACCTTTCTATCGGTGACTACGGAAATTCCAGAAAATATTGTACTTCTCGCCAAATCTTCAATTATTACCCAGACTAAATCATATATTTCTCCTTTTGTGTTCGCTCCAGAATATGGTGCTCTCCGTGTGTTTCCATTCGTCCCCGATCGATCCGCAGAATCTGTGATTAGAAAAAACGTCTCCGCCCGCACTGCGGCTTCTCCTATTCGGCCTCAGAAGGGGTTCCGCTCCTCTTGTCTCATCCCACTGGCTTTATTGACCATCGACTTCTTTGCGTTTCTCGTCCAAACTATCTATCTGGTCGCTGAGCATCCATGGATATTCATCCATTCTTGCGATTCCGAATTCCAGTATATCGACAAAACTTTATAAATTAAGATAACACCCTGCTTTGGAATCTATATCACTCGACTAGGGAACCGGACCACCTCCACCCACATCGGGGCGGAATCGAGTCCAGGAGTCCGGCAGAAGCGGCCTCTTTTGAACATGGGCTCCGAGTCTCTAGGATATCTCAGGTGTCCCTGAACGACATTTCAGCTATCTCCATCATTTCGGGACAACCGGTACGGGAAACCGTGGGTTGCCATCGAATAACTTTTTTCAAAACGTCTCCGAGGTGGTGGAACGCCTCCGCTCTCGTGACGACAGAGACGAGCTCCCCGTCGAGGTCCGCTCCTTGGAACATGAGTTTGAGCGAGCTCGTCATGAGTGTTTCCAGTACGTCTGGGTCTGAGGATGAGCTGAGAATCTGACGATACACCCGGAGGATCTCTTTCGCGACGTACTCGCCATCGTAGGACAGCGATTGATTCTGTACGAAATCCATGGCCTCGCTCAGCAAGCTCTCGAACTCCTGACAGCGCCAGTTCCGCTCGAATAAAATGAACGAGCGAATGTTCGGGTATATCGTCGTGGCGTCCGGCGCTGTCCTCAGGAAGCAGATCAAGGCGCGCAACAGAGCTTGGTGGCGATCGGTGGCGCTCAGAAATTCGCGCCAATTGATGACTTTATGAAACTTCGCCTGGCTGGCATCCTGGATGCCGGAGAGGAAGTCTACGAGACCTGCCCAGAGGGCCGGATCTTGGCTCTCGAGAACTTTCGCGTAAACCTCTGGGAGGCAACGATCGATCCGCTGTAAATAGTTTCCGTCGATTTCGGTGTCGCCCCGGGTTCCGCTCCACCGAATAAACTGCTTCCGAGCGAATTCATCCGATGGATCGGAGCGGGTGAAATCCTCGAGAATCTCCAGATCGGGATGAGGTGTATATTTGATGGTTGGGAAAATTCTCTTCTTCCTCTGAATATCGTGCGTTGCTTGACTTGAGATGGGAGAAACGTTCTTCTTCATCGGCGAATCCCTCGAGCATTCCAACTTTGTCGAGAGTTCTTTAACCTGGAATCAGAATACGGATTTCAATCACGGATTCACAATCATATCTCGACAGATCGCCCAGCGGTAAGGAGAGCTCTCGGGTGAAAATGAGCAACCTAACCTCTTCGCATGAGTATATTCAGGGAATTCGGTGAGAACTTACCCTCTTCCGAAGACTAGAGAGCTCGTTCTCTTTGAAACGTAGGTCGCAATTGACGGCGTTGAGTTGTTTCTTGCAGTTCTTCTCACAGAAATCAGCGTTCGCTGCCCGTAGACGATTCACTTCGTTTTTCAGCTCCAGCTTTTCCTTGGCCTTCGCCATGAGCCTGGCGATCAAGTTGTCGATTTTCTTCTGCATCTCATCCGCTGTCGCCCTGAGGATGAACAATCCCTCACGTAGGCGAAGGAAACGACGACCAGCCCTCTTCAGCGATGGTGTTGAAGACTCGTTCTGAGCTTTTTTCTCAAGTTCAATTCTTTCGGCTCAGTATATGTAGCTTCATTTCAGTTTCTTCACTCACCTGCTTGCTGTTCGCGGGACGTCGACATCAATCTGCATTGCGCTGGAGGTCGTCGCTGCCATCTGTTGAGTGGCTTGAGTGCGGACAAGATAATCGTCGACCAGAACAGCTTCATCCCATAACTCTTGATCATCGTCGCTGTCGTCGACGCGGGGTCTTTTCTTGCTCATGGTTCGCGTCGCGTTCTCGCCGGAATCTCCCGAGACGGCGTCGCGTCGTCAGCTAGATGCAGCGTATTATTAACTGGCTCGAGAGCGGATTTTTCCTCTACCCAACTCTATCTGAGGGGGAGATGAATCTCCCGTTCGTGAACCTTGTGGTCGGTGTGGAACTCTGCTCCGAAGCGGGCGCAGCACCCCCACTCATGAAGGATGACTCAAGACATGTCAGTCATCGACAGCGCGCAAAGCGATCGCAAAGCCTTCTCTCGAGACAGGCAATACAGCGACAGTGAGCAAAGCGATCGCAAAGCCTTCTCTCGAGACAGGCAATACAGCGACAGTGAGCGATTCAAAGGCTCCGAGATTGCACGACGATGTCGCGAAAAGTGACTTATGTTTATTTGGCGCGTATCGGAGCAGTTCGACGCGGTCTAGGCCCTTCCGTTCTGTAAATGAGCCACCGGAACGTCGCCCTCTCTTCCTCTGACTGCTGCTGGTGATGACTGGGATACGGGGACGTCTTCTTGGCCTTTACAGCGAGTCCTCGTTCCAGAGAACGTATGAACAAATCCATCGAGAGAATATCGCCCGGTGCTCGACAGATTCGAAACCCGTCCATATGAAGTCGGAGGCGATGATCCTTGTGATCTTTACTAGCCTCCCGATACGGGGGAGGCGGCCGCCACTACACTATGGCAGGCGATTCGCGGACTCGGATCCTATGATACCTCGAGATCATTCCGATCGAGAACATCCGCTCATCATCGGGTGAATTCCGTCTTTCGATCGATATGTTGTCCATCGTGGGCACTCCTGACACTATTCGCCATCGAGTCTCCTCGGGAAGGGAATCGAGGATCTGATCCCATTCACCGAAGCCGCCCTCGCGTCCGAGTCCAACTCTGAGGAGCCTCGCCCGTAGTCGCAGGATCCTAGAGTAGGTTCAAGGACGAGCCCCCCACTACGCTACTACCGCCCAATCTGCTCTGCTAGAAATACAATTACATCGTAACCGGTTGGATCAGCTTCGATCTGCATGGCTCGGGGAAGCTGTATTCTGATGCTACAGAGGTATGTCTTCGTCGGTTTAGTGCCGAGTCTCTGGTCAGAGATCCTGTACTCGGGAAGATTCGCAGTGCCTTAGCGGAGTATTCGTACGCCTGACCCGGGAAGATCGACTCCATTCAGGTTCTCGATGAGTAGAGTTGGAGAGATATAGTTTTCATCCGCGTTATGTTCTGTTCGTCGGATCCGGCCGACTTCGGGCTCGGAATCGACGGAATGCTGCTTCAGGTTCTGAGACCCGACATCGGCTCGGAATCGACTCGAGGCCATCTTAATAGCTTCAAGCTTCATCTATTCGTCAATGACAGGGCTTGTGTAACTGACGGAAGAGGAGCGCAAGCCGAATGCTTTCTATCATTCATTGTGCTTCACTGACAGTGTCCTGTTTATACCGCCGTCTTGGAAACACTCAAGAGCGAGGGATGCTCGGAGACCCCGGCGCAAACAACCCGGGGGATAGAGATGAGGACGAGTGCGTCGGAATCGACGCTCGCCCTTATACGACAGCAAGCTTGAACGGTGCCAGCGAGCTTGGAGAGGAGGGAGGGCTCGGTAAGTGAGACACCCTACAACTCGACCGCGACATTTGGAGAGATCGTGGATGAGTCGGAAGGTAGCTCAGAGAAAGCGGAGAAGTTGAAGCTCTTATGACGATGCCTCGATCGTTTCTTCGAGATGTATCGATATCTCATGCATTTCAGATATCCCGAACTCATGACTTGTTCGTCGCGGGTAGTGATTTCAGGATCCATCTGAGGTTTTCGTAGTACAGGGACTTCTGATGAGATCACGTTGATCTTGTGTAGACTGGGCTCGGCTTTGCGGAGCCTAAAGTTCATTCGAACTTGCGACCTATCTCAATGGGTCGCCTGATTGTGAACCGGTATCAGACAGAGATCATCAGCATCGTTTCTCTCTTCTCTCTTCCGGGACAGAGAGATCCCCTAATAGTGAAGTATGTTCTTCCAGAACGGGGATCTCCTCAATAGAATCAAGCGTTTCCCGAACCGCATTTCTCAGCATACGTTCTTCCGCTCAAGACAACGCCGTTCATCCGCCATTCACCGGGACACCTCTCCGGGCCCGGTCTCCGGATATGAATCTAGGCCCATCGTTGACATAGTAATCCTCCGATATAATGAGCGAGAGTCCGCCCTGTGACCGTCCGATGAGTACTTCAGCTCATTTGCAGAAAAGTCCAGTCGCGGTGGCAAGGGAAAAGGCACTTGGCGGCGCGGCGGCAGCCTGAGTGTCTCTCTGTTGTTATTATTTTTCGGTGGCGGCACACCAGCGCCTCCGCCATAACAGCGGCACTTGACGGAAGTAGCCAGTGGTTTCGATACGGGGATGTAAACAGTGGCAGCTTATTTTTTTCCCGAGAAAGCAAAATAGAAACGGAAAGCGAAGACTCCCTGACGCAGGTCCAAGAGTCCGATGCTCGTTGAGCAGCTCGAGTGAAAACACCAGCGGTGCCGACAGCATCACAGGGGACAGTGCGCAGTGCGGTTCAGAAAATGTGATGCGGGTCCAGCAGGCGCGATGTGTGAAGCGACAGCCGAAGGCTACAACAGCTCCCCGGCGGGAACGAGTTGTCCCTCGACGGAGACAGGATCTCAGCCAGCCCAGTTGACTCGTCGCGAACTAACGCTACTAGCCCAAATCAACAGTCTGCTCTTTGGTGTAGTTCGTATGCACCTGCCAGAAAACCAGAATAAGAAGGCGCTTATCGAGAAAGGAGTTCAGGCTCTCGAACGAGTGATCATAGACGTTCGCCGTCGGGCGGACCGCAAGGAACGCTGTCGCCGAAAAAAGCAGAGAACGCGGACGCCGTCCCAACGGAGACGGCAACAGCAGCAGTCCAAAAGAACACAGCAGCAGCAACAATCTCAGCGAGAGCAGCCGCTCCAACAAGTTAATGGAGAAATCACATCAGTGCAAACTCAATCGACGTCGCCTTCTTCGGGAGCTAGCGCGGCGCTTGTGGCCGCTGCGGGAGGAGCTCGGGAAAAGGAACAGACCGAGATGAAGGAGGAGCCGATGGATGTCGACGAAATCCAGATGAACGGACACCACGTTACGGACGACGAGGTCGCCCGCTTAACGGCTCAGAGCACGAAGCTAAACGGCGAGTGCTCATCAGAGAACGGTTCGCAGAAAGCCGAGCCGGCGGAACGCTCTGAGATCCCGGTGGAGTTGTGGGCGAAGTTAGGACATTTCAACCTGTTACTCGAAGACTACGAGAAGGCGCTGTCAGCCTACCAGAAATATATCCACTTGCGCGAGGATTACTGGAACGATCTGAGCTTCATGTACGGCCTTGCCATGGTTTATTTTCATTATTCTCAATTCGAATGGTCGATTCGAGCCTTCCGGGAAATTCTCTATCTCGAGCCGGAGTTCTGTAAAGCGGCCGAGATCCACGTGCGACTCGGACTCATGTACAAAGTCCGAGGAGACTATGTGGAAGCGCAGAAGTGCTTCGACTTCGTCGCGGGTGCTATCGATGAGGACAAATTATCAATTTCGAAATTCGAGCTTCAATTCCATCAAGCCCACCTGTTCGAAGTGCAGGGCAAGACGCGGCAGGCCAAAGAGTTATACGAGAGTTTGTTGGAGAACCTCCAGCTACCGAAGGGCGTGAAGGCCGAGGTCTTGCGTCAGTTGGGCTGGATGTATCACTCACAGGAGTTGGGACCATTGAAAGGATGCTCGATCCTTCCTCCGTTGCCGCCGAGTGCGGCGACGCCGATGCAAGCTAACCAGCAACGACAGTCATTCGCCATCCAGTGCCTTCAGAAGAGCATCGAGTGCGACCCGACAAGTGGACAGAGTCTTTACTTCCTGGGTCGTTGTTTTGCCGCTATCGGCAAGGTACACGATGCCTTTATATCGTATCGGAACTCTGTCGACAAAGCCGAGGCTAACGCTGATACGTGGTGTAGCATCGGAGTTCTATACCAACAACAGTCGCAGCCCATGGACGCTTTGCAAGCGTACATTTGTGCTGTCCAGCTGGATAAATTACATTCGCCGGCGTGGCTGAACCTCGGCGTGCTGTATGAGGCTGTTAAGCAACCTAGCGATGCATTGAAGTGTTACATAAATGCTCTGCAGGGCTCGCTCTTCAGCCCCGATTCCAACTTGAACACTTGTCAACTCCCTTGAGGGTTTCCAGCAGCCAAACCAGATCTCTCACTGGGCTCTTATTGTTAGGATGAACCAACGACCGACCGAACGACTAACTGGCTGACACACTGACTGATCGCAACATCAGCGGTACGACCGACAAACGGATGGACTTGAAGACTGGCCATGGATGGACTTGAATGGAGATGGTCACTGTTCAGATAATCCGTTCGACGATCGAGTCAGCGGGGGAGTCTCTTTCGAGCTATTCATGATATGTCTTTGTCGGCGATTCGTGTCGACTAATGTCACTGTTTGGATGATGCCGATATTAGTGGACAAACCCGTGGAATATATATATTATATAATATAAAAGTATCTACCGATCACCGAGTATACATTTATTGGTCAAGTGTTTCAGACCATTTTTGTAAAAGTTCATTATTCATAGATCGAACGTAGTGGTGAATAAAGTGACGGAATTTTCTAAGAAGCATCGGCGATCTTGCTTCGCATGGGCTCGCCTGAAATTACCATTAGGTGCCTTTCCCCGCAGATCTCCCGCGAAGCTCCACAGGGGAACTCTATCTATGATTTGGATGATCCAGGATTCCTTCAGACGCTCCATTGCCCTGGATCGAACGACCATATCCACCAGAACTCAGTCAATTGTGGAAGGATGAGGGTACAGGAGGAACATTGGTATTTCATCGCTGCGGAAGAGACATTGCTCTTTTCCGGGGTGCGCACTGAGCACGGAACTTCTCGCCAATTGTAGATACCATCGGGAGGCCTGCCTTCCCTCCCAGACTCGATCCCGTGAATATTCTGCTGCAAGCCCGGGTATCGATAATTCCCAACCTCGAGTGGGGGACCTGAAGTGCAGTCGGTGCAGCCATCGAATTTTCCCTGAAGCGCTCCGCTGACGTCGTTCCAATGAAGTATGCCGTGAACTTCCTCCGGAGGCTCTCCTATTCCACTTTAATCCATTCGCATTCGGGGTTTTACACATTTTCAGTTCCAATGTTCACGATAGATGCGTTTACAGGTAAGGATAATCATCTCTCGTGATCAATGCTTCGACTCCCCGGTATGCTTCGCTTAGATCCTCGGCAGCTCTCGGGAGAATGGAAAATCTTCGATCAAACAATCCCGCTTTCTCCGGTATGCGATAGTTTTTTTGATCTGCGATTCTCCGACAGAACCATGCAAGTCACTTGAAAGGAGGCGGCCTGCACCCCGCTCTAGCGAGCGGCACTACCGATCGCGCAGGAGTTGCAGCTGTCAGAATGCGCTTGCACAACTGACAGGAATCAATACCTGAGTATGCTCGACCGTGTATGGTCTGATGTGCTTGTTCAGAGTGCAAAAGTAATGCATCATCTATATGCGGTCTGTCTTTCATTTCGATTCCAATGTCTGCCAAAGCGGCGGCGGCCACCCAACACCCGAGGGAGTGAGCAAGTCCGCCAATGCCGCCATCGGAGTGCCAGACAGTCGTCTCGTCATTGTCTCTCTTCGATGATGGAAGCGATGGGCGTGGTGGCAGCTTTTTGACATGCTCCTGATCTTGAGGGGATTCGGGATCGACTGATATGACAAGCAATGTCACTCAGGAACCGCGAAACAGTTTCGATGCCGAATCCCCCAAGAACTGCAACAAGTCCACACGTAGCTGGTGCCCGCCACACGAGGCTCATCCTTGTCTTCTTGTCGACGTCCAAGGATAACTCCGCGCTGAATCACTCGGCGATCGACACGCTCGACGCGATCGACTCTGTGCGACGCGTGGCAAATAAATGATCATGCAAGCAGACGTGTGCGAATTGGTGTCATGATTCTTCAATGAACCTCCTCGGAATGCGGGAGGGCTCATCCGCACAACTGTCAGATGCAGATCTGCATCATTTCATGGTTCATCGGGCTGAGGGCTTCATCAAGGTGCTGCCTCTCGTTTCGGGATTCTCTCTCTCAGGAACAAGCCCGTCATGGCTTCAATCGTCCGCTGGCGTTCCTTTGTCACGGAGCCAACGGGCAGTCAAATGGACAGAGGGCTCGCGAACAAGTCCAGGAGCCGCGGTCGCCGCGAATCCGGAGCGAATTTCGCGATTTTCCGCGATTACGGGGGAATGTGAGGTTTTCCGCGAATTCCCAGTAAACTTATAGCGACGGTACGACTCCAGCGACATCTTGTCGCGAAAAAATCACCTTCCTTCCGATAGCCTACCGAGCTCCAGCACCGAACACCGGCACCATAACCCGTGAGGACCTGTCTTCGCGGGGGCGATTTGAGGGTTGAGAGGAGCATTCGAGGAAAGGCATGAGTGGAATCATCTAGAGAAAGTCTCCTTAAGCTCGTAGGTATCCACGAAGACAGATATTACAACTCCGGCTTATTCTCGTTCAGATTGATTGAATTACTTGGCGGTTGGTGAAATTAGTATGAGCTCAATCCTTTATTGTTCCTCGATAGATGACCATTACAGGTATCTTAATGTTGGAACGCGAGGAAGCGTGATTATTCGAGCTTCCTCTGCTCCGGAGAACTCCAGGTTTCCGATGATGTTGGCAACGATGCGGAGCTAGGATTCCACATCACTCTCTCATCGTGGAACCTCTCGCCTAAGATGATGCATAGGGCGTATCGCACTCTTTCCAGGAACAGCGCCCGTTTCCCACCCCGTGATAAATTCTGCCCTCAATTAGGAGGACGAATCTCATCGAAAGCTCAGCATAGCATGTCATTCAGAGCAGTCATCCACATCGGGAGTCACCATGCGAACCTTTGTTCAGTTAATAAATAACAACTCTCGCTGGATGATGCTGCATTCGTACTTTAGCTCTCAACCCAACCAGTTGGTCTGTCGCTTGAAGTTCGCTCCCTTCTTCGAATTCTTGATCAGGAAAGATTTCTGCGGAGACGTTTTCTTCCCTTGTTCTTCAGTCTTCGGCGGTGAATAGACGTAAGATCGTCCCGTACCAGTGGCCATTGCCTTCTGTGGCGTCCTCTCGAACATGATCGTTTGAGCGGCTCTCGTGTGTTTGTACTGACTGCGGAGAAATGAATGTATATCCGATTATTAGATGGGCTGAATGCGGATATACACTATACACTGTGAAGGAATTGTCGCGAAAATGTTGAAGAACAACTTACCCCCTCTGTGCGGCCGCTGCTCTCTGGTATTGGGCCTGCTTTTGTGGTTGAGGAAGTGAGGTTTGCTGACGGGGAGCTTGCTGTCGTCCCGATGTCTGGAGTGCCACTTGAGGTCGACCCTGCTGCGGTCGCAGAGGCTGCTTCTGCACCGTCGGGGACTGGCGCATCATTGCGGCCTTGCTGACCTCCGGGAGCTGTCCGGGTTCGTTGCTTATCCGGATGGACTGTGATTCTTTCTGAAGTCCTGCACGGACATACATAACCCTCGAAGCCCCTTGATTCAAAGGTTGCACTCGCCTGAAAGAACATCCGTGGTCGCTCAGCCAGTGGATCATTCTCCTCAATTCATGAAGTTCAGAAGCGTCTAAATTCGTAGTCCCCAAGATAATTTCGCGGATGTGGGCTCACGAACCTCTGCTGTCGCCTTTGGCGGGTGAGATAGTCGTAGTATATGGTGTTAGTCCTCGGTCCGTAGTAGTAGTAATAATAGTAATCCGGGTAGCTGTATCCGTAGTTGGTGTAATAGTAGACCGGGACTAGCACGTATCGACCTCCGCCGTAAGAATTCCCTGAAGGATGGAGCGAGGATTCGGATGAGCTCATTGGTGGTGCTACTTGCATTGACGATTCGTGACCATTAAGATTGAAACCCTGCCTTCCTACTAGCTTACAGCCTTCTTACTCCCCCGCCTTTTGCTAGGCGAGTTTCTAAAAGTATGGTTTGGGCGTACCCACTCCGGGCGTCCATCAGAGCTCGAAACGACCTCTCGAGGATTCAATGAGGCGTTGAAACTATCTACGAAATCCATACTCAATTCACATCCAGCTTTGCTTTGCTTATGTGAACTCTCACCGAAACCTCCAATCAGTAATCTGCTGTACAAGAGACTCGTGAGTCCGAAGAGCAGCATCGGCAGCAAAGCTCCCATGATACCGATTCCCGCGCAGCGTTTACTGATGCTGTGATGTTTTCTCTCTTGCAAATGCGCTTCCTTATCTGGTTGATCCAAAGTATCGGGGAAATCGAACGTGATATCTTTGATCTTCTCGAAATCTGGAGGGTAATCATAACGATGAATTAGTCGCGATACCTCAGAAGTATGAGCGAGCTCAGGTCAGTCACGGGCGCTCAATTTGGCGAAAGAGAGATTTCGCCACTATTGACTCGGTTTCCTCAAACCCACTCATTTTCCGCGTGTGATGTAGTCCGATATTCACTCTGAACGGCAGTTGCAGAATTTCTTCTCCGACGTTGCTCGAGTTCCATTCGGCTTGATAGAAGTCTACGTCACCGATATAGATGTTCATCAACGCCATGACGACGGGGACGGCACAATCACACGGCCACCTCCGGTTTCTTTTTTCTGAAGCGCTTCAAACTGAGGATCCTCCAAACTGAGCGTCTTTCGGGCGGAAGTCTTTCGTAAATGAATGGCAACTGTAAATTCCAGACCGTGTTTTCTTCCCCTAGGAGCTTGCTAAGATAAGGAGTTTATTCAGCGTCGGATGTCACGAAATGCTTTCCCTGAAAAAGTACTGCGGATCGTCGAGAGCGCAGCGCGTTCCTCGGCCTGTCCAAGCTCGAGTGGTCGGCATTCAAGGCTGCTGTCAAACATCGACACAGGCGGTTAGAGCTCCCAATCTTGGAGGGCCATCGTGGGTGCAAGACTTCACAAAGAATCATCTGTAAATCCATCGGAACGTGGTCGCTTGCTCTTCCGCTGGCAAGCGGTGGGAACGAATTGACATAGATGCCGCATCACCTTGTTTCTTGTCTATTGTTCGGATCGCTGACATTCGCGATGTTCTTCAAAACGGCATACCGACACAGATGATTGTTGCGATCAAGAAGGATCGATTTTTTTCCCGACAGACATGCCGAGTTCCGCGAGCAGTGGTCTGCCCAGCCAGGGGGCCTTGATAAGCGACGCGAGCTTAATACCGTGACTGCTACCTTGACGAGACCCGGACAGTTACTGATAGACGAATTTTATATGGCTCGAGCTCCAGGGCTGTCTGACATCAACAGGAAGTTCTTTCGGAGGTTAATGTGACGTCCTTGGCCGCTTTCGGTCGACCTTGATCCCTGGCGGCTCCCCGAAAATCATATCGGATCATACCCAGGATCACATGGCTGGTCAAGCTCAGTCGGCACCCGCTTCCGAGATGCTGCATTGTCCTCTGGCCAACGGATATCCGATATATCTGCTTACTCTGCAACTTTCCACCCTTGGGTAAGCTCAGCCCAGATCCTGAAGCGGAAGTTTTGATGGTGGGCTCAGACAGATCCGTGCGACCGCGACTCGGGGGTACCATGTGACATTCTCTCACTCATAGATGTAACATTGACGGGCTGACTGAAGAATTTCATTCGTCTTTTCGCTTTTGAACGCATTTCAAGGGGGGAATCCCCAATCCAATGTGCCCAATGTAATAGAGCTGAATAGAATAGGAGTTTAGCTCGGATGGCCTTGACCAAGGAGAAACATTGGTCGAGCGAAACAAGTCATGTCGTGACTGAAACCAGGATAAGGCATTCTTCAGGCTCCACGCCTGAGACGAAAGTAAACGCTCGTTCTCTGTCGCGTCCTCCTAGCGAGCGAAATGCGTGTTTTCGACTATTCAGTTAAGCCTCTTCAAAATAATCTATGTGAGTCAAACCTTGGGAACACCGGGGGCGACTCCGGTTTCCAAAGAACGTCGCATACCACAAATCAACATGTTCGGAATGGAGGCGAGCATACACGCCCATTGTAAGCATGAAGTAGCGTGAAATGGGTTACGGTTGGTTTGCCAAGCGGACCAGAACGCTTCGCGTCTTCCGCGTCGGCGAGCCGTGATTTGTTCGAGCGTGCGTGAGAGACCAGAGATGTCCGAAAAAAATATTCGCGCGGGCTGAGTGAGCCTCAGTGAATTCTCTGCGGCCGTCGACCTCTGCGGGGCCGACGAGTTGCTTGAATCTCCCAACTGCTGGGAGAGATCGGCTCCCTCCCCGAAACTCCCGTTCATATCCAGATATGGCATCGAGTACTGGAGGAACAATGTTGTACTGGAAATCACAGCATGGCGGGCTCAGACTCACCGGGATTCGAGCTGCGGTTTGGTTGGAAAACACTCGAGCTCATACAGAAAATTACAGTGGGAAAAATTGATTCTGAAGCGGAAGGTGTTTCGAAAATGCGGCGTCAGTGGCGGGTCTCGACCGCTGTTCTATCGCGAGGAGGATTCCTCCGAGTTATTGAAAATATTTCTCATCAGAGTCACCGAGCTGGATGATTCACCTGCCTCCGAAATGACTCGAAGAGAACCCGAAGTGTGTACTGCACTGTACTGATGATTGGACTTTGGCCTCAAGAACTGTCATCATCGTTCCTCATGTAGGTTGGAATACAGCAACGATGTATGTATATGCTTCAGAAATCAAGAATGTCTCAGAGGAAGGACGAGATTCCATGAAGGGGAGTGATATTGAATAAATGGCTTTATTTACAAAAAAACAAGATTGCGTTTCTTTAGATTCCCATGTAAGACCAACAAGTCGCCAGCCGACGTTGGGAGCGGTTCCGAAGCAGAGAAACACTCAGCTAACTAAGTCATTGGAATTTCTCCAGGCTCCAGAATCTCGAAGTGGGGGAGCGTGGCGTCGATCCTCCGAGTTAGCGCCTGTCTTGCATATTTACATGAGAAGCAGCAGAGCTTCCAAGTTCCGACTAGATCACCTCGAATCGAAGCGAGATTTCCCTGCGAGGAGCGGCGAACAATATTCCTCCAAAAATCTAGAGACGCTATTTCTTCTCGAGGGTAATTGAGGCGCTCGACGTCACTGGCTCGGGTGATGCAGGTTCCGCTTGAGTATTCGGTAAAAGCACTCCATTAACAGTAACCGAAACCCCGCCGCTCTCAGGCGTTTTTTTCTTCTGCGGAGACTTGTCGCGTTTGTCTAGATCTCTCTTCGTGGGGCTCTTGTCCCGCTGCTGGCTGGAATCTTTTTTCGGTGACGGAGATCTCTTGTCTTTCGAAGGTGAAGGCTGACGCTTCTTGACTGGCGATTTGTCTCGCTTGGGAGGTGTGGGCGTCTGTGAGTTCGGCTGGTTTTCCTGAATTTGGTCCGCAATGTCAGCGCAATCAGCCTGGTTTCTAGCCTCGTTCGGGACCTCTTGTGCAGGAAGCTGCCCTTCCGGAGCAGAGGTCGACGCCTCGGTAGGAGTCTTTTGTAGATCCACGTCCGATACGGCGACGCCCCGGTCTTCAGGTTCCGGCGATTTCTCACATTCTGGTCTGTTTTGTATTTCGGCGGCGTTGGCGCGCACTTTCTTCTCGAGTTGGTCAATCACTCGTTGCACTTCTTTGACTGCGGCTTTCCTGGAATCAATGACGAGAATAAATGGTGATGAGTACGAGAGGTGCCCGAACAGCCGCGAGACACGCTGACATAGAAGCCACGTTCCACTACGCAAGTATGTAGTGCTAGACCGAGTCGCGACTCGCGAGGCCACTAGCCTTCAGAACGCTCAGCTCGCAAGGAATCTATATTTAGGAGGCAGCGGCGGCTATGGCTGCAGCAACGACGACGACTAGTTTACATAAAAGAGCTTCCTCACGTAATGTGATGCGAACTGCGGCACGGGCCACCGAGCCGAGCGAGTTTTATGACTAGCGGTAGTAGGTACACGAATGAGCGCGAGGCGATAGATAGGTAGAGAGGGAGTGAATACCAACCTCGCGGTCCTCAAACATTCATTGCCGTCAGTTATGACGTCATCCAGGCTAAGCATCAGCCGAGTGAGCATCTCGTCGAGATACCGGTACTCCTTGGATTTGCTGTCGGACCCTTGGAATCTGTGAACCTCGTCGATGAGAAGTTTGAGATCCGCTAGAACTTTGTCTATTCTTTCCTGTGGACTTAGTTGTGTCTTTTGCGGCGGTGGAACCGGTTGTGGATGTGGTTGCGGCGCCGGCTCGTTCTGAGGATGGGAAAAAAAGACAATGCAGAGTTTTACGAGCTGATCGAACGCCAACAGAGAATCATGAGCTCAACTCGCGGAACACGCCGCCGGCCGAACGCATTAACGATGAGGGACACGATGGCCTGCGCCTAGCTGACTGACTGACTGGCTGACAAATAACACGGACATTCCAAGGACGAGCGGATCACCTACCTGTTCGGGTTCTTGGCTCGCCTTCGGCCTGAACAGATTCTGCGCCCATTTCAATGGCGTTTCCTGGTTCTTGGCGCGGGGGAACGTTCCCATTCCCGGCTCTGGTCCTCGTTCCGGGGACTTTCGCTGTGCTTGACGTTCGTTCCCGATGTTCGGACTAGAGTCGGAGCGTTCCACCTGCACAGGGATCGAGACACGACCTCGACCTCTATTCTGCATCATATTCGAGAAAGTCCTTGGGCGGAGCTGAGGCATAGTGCTGAAGCGTGAGGAATCCAGGGGACTGCCCTCGCGTCCTTGAGGTGTGCTTGCGCGGTAGAAACCTTGCTCGGGGGAATCCCGTCTCGGAGGACTCTGCTGGTGAGCTTGTTGCTGCGGCTGCTCTTGTTGTGGAGCGGCCCCCTGCTCCGATGCAGGGACATTCTCGGGAGATGTCTGTTTCTTTTGAGGTCGCGACTCGACGTGGATCGGTATGTGGTGGACCTTGGGGACTCGCCCGGTTCCCGTCGACCCATCGCTGCTCCCACTAGCCCGGGATTCGGTGTCTGAGGCGTCACCCGAACCGGTCCTCTGGTGCGAAACTTTGACGGGGATTTCGCCGAAAGCGTTCCGGAATCTGTCTGAGAATATCGAGTTCACCGGCCGGTTGAACGGGGATCCGTCGGGGAAATCGTGCCCAGAACCGGTCTGAAAATGTAAACAGCTACGTCAGAGCCTCGTCGTTCTTTCACTACAACCAATCGAATCGGCCGAGCGCTGACGCGAAGTGCCAAAGATTCTGTTGTTCCGGAGCGACACCTGGCAGGCAGGCAATCACAGACAGCCGCCCTTGCATAACAGATCCGAAAACAAAGAACGCCAACCAGCACGCTCCCATCACCGAACGCAGCCGATCGTCGACAGAAATGTTCGCAGTCGGATTCGAGATTCCTCAGCCCGCACGGCGCCTGACATTCGACTCTGCGTATCGTCGCTCGGCATAAAAATCAACCGGAGTCGAGTTGAGGACCACATGAGTCAGCCGGCTGCTCGGTCCGCGAGTATCCGTACAGCAGCGTAAGCACGTCACACACTCCGGCTAGAACATTGTCTCTACAAGGGCGATCGGTGGCGTAGGCGATCCAGAAGAAACAGCGCACTGGTACTAGTGTTGGTGACCCGACAAATGCTTGAAGCCGTCTCGTATTTCCACAGCGTTTAGCTGTCTGGTCTATGTAAATCTCGTGAAGGTTTATTCCGATTGCATAGCTTTCGTCTTTCCGGAGCTTCGTCTCGTCCGAGCGAACCATCTCATGGCGGCTCTTTCATAACGAAATCTAGCCGAGTAAAAAATGCGTTCGAGACCCAGTCGCAGACCTATGGGCGTACATTGGCTCTCTTCGCTATCGTCGGCATCCGTTCTCGGAAGGGCGGAGAGTTCCCGAACCGCGAGCGCAGACGAGAAGCAAAACACACACCCGAACGGAAGCCGTAAAATAGAGCTCTTGCGACGGAATCAACAGGGCCTAGGGAAACAACGCGGTAGTAAAAACGTAATCGGGTGTTATGAGAAGAATTCCCATCGCGAGTACGCACGCAGCCGCCCGCCTCGACGCACAAAGTTACACGCGACGCTCCACGGCTCCCGGGAACGGGGAGAGCAATTCCACGGGATCCCGAACGTACACCGTCGATACCGTGGGCCTTGCGTGAGTGGGCACGTTACACGTAGCGATCACGAACACCGAGTGGACACTTTCTAAACAAACAATACGTACTTGCTGTTGGAATCTCTGAAACTCGGGCGGAGTGTCCCATCGTGGAAGGCCTTCACTGAACATTGTGTCGAAAGGTTCCTCAAAATCTTCGAATGCGTCGCGAATCACGTCGGAACAACGCTCTGTACCAAAGTCGGGAGAAAACTGGAAGGGTCTTCTATTGAAACTCATTTTAGTGCTTCGAGCTGCGACACCCGTGCATGAGAAACTCTCAACCATCAGCTGGCTCGGCTCGCCACCATTCTAGCGGCTTCTAGATCGAGCGAATCTGCGCGCGGCATCTGGAAGCTTCGTGTTCGACTCCCGGCTCCGGGGACGCTCGTCCCGATTCCGGTCCCCGATCGCATTTCTGGCGGCTCAGGATACTCGGGCAGGAGTTTTGATAGCATGTTCCTCGATTATCTTAATCAAGAAACGATGTTACTCACCGGTGGCGAGTTGACGATTCCGCTAAGTCGCCCGGCAGCTCTATGTGTAGCTTTCTCTCACTCTCCCGCAACGTGACGTCAGAAAACGCCGCGTGCGCTCACTCAAAAGGGGAATCGGGGAGGAACGTTCGCGGCGCTCGCAGAAGGATGTTCGCGAATTGGGTCGTATGCCTTGAGCTCTTGCGCCCACCGCATGTTCGCCCAAAACATGATCATGGGCTAGCAATCAGGTGGCTCTGTTTTCGCGCTTTTCGAAAGCATCCGGATTTTCGAGGCTTCGGGGTGACTTCGCAGACAATGTTGGCCCGGCGAAGAGTAGGGAAACAACGTCTATCCGTTGAAATGGCATCCCAGTCTTCCCAAGTCTATTTGCATCTCCCCCGAAGCTAAAAATATCATCCTGGGTGGACCACCGGAGACATCACCACCGGTATTGACGTCGGAAGATCGTCGAGAGTCCAGAACGGCTGGCTGTTTTGAACATATGACTCTTCCCACAATTTGGAATGCTTCTCTTAGTTGAATTTTCAAGGACGGTGACGTCATCGGGTGGAGTTCGCCCCCTGATACCGGAATCGACAGGAAAAATCACTCGTTTCTGAGCGAAAAGCCGGATGGACGGATAGGAAAATGGCCTCGAGAGTGGCGGAGGCAGAGTTCTCGGAAGGCGCGTTAGAGAGACGCCGTACACCGCGGCGTGCGGTTCCAGGAGCACTAATCGAGACTTCCGGGAAGAAGTGAGGGTACGGGCGTGTCCACGATCTCGACATTGAGGACCACTGCTCTCTTTTCCAAATTGAGTTCGTCAATGGGAGCTCTCGGTTAGTTCAGAACCGGAGCTTCTCGATGACGTCATCGGCCTTGAGAGCGGAACCAACACAAGCGTCTCAGGCCGATTGGTGAGTCACACGTTCACGAACAAGCGCGTCCGTTTCGGCCCCTGTGTCTTTCAACGTCTACGATTGTAGGTGGTTGACGCAGCGTTTTCTGCCGCATACGGATATCTGCTATGGATAGTTCAATGAACTCCTGATGCCTCCCAACGGATTGTTGATGGAACGAGATATTGATGGGAGGCTGAACTGACGTGTCTGTTCGAATTCACTCGAGAGCAGTGATTCTTCGACTGAGAAAGTCTAATGGATTCCGACGGAGCCAGATACTTGGAGCTCTGGGTCGCAATCCTCGGTCAGCAGATCCTGGCCGATACGAATCGATATAACGAACCGTGGCTAACGGAGAAATGACGGAGGGGAGCTTGCTGCATAATTTCTCAATGAAATCAATAAACGTGCTCGTGCCTTCTCAATCTGCATACTAATAGCCACAGTAATGATGGGTTGCGACTTCCAGCTGAAACAGGTCATCTCGCCCGGTTTCCTGCATGAAGCGAGAAGAAAATATAGTACGAGATAGAATGCTTGGACCTTCTTTGCTTGAATTTGAAAAATTCTCCATACGTATTTTGAAAGATCAGGCAGAGCATCGTCGGCCTGGAAGCTCATCTGGCTAAGAGCAAATTGAGCATGACAGTTCTCCAGTCCAGCAACTCTCCCGTTACGGAGGCGGTCTGATGCTACCTTAATTCACAAGAATGTCGCAACATGAAAGCTGCTACCGGTGATCGATCGTGATGATCATCTCCTCATAACGGACTGGCTGGGAAATTTTTCTTGCAGATGTATACGAAGCTGATCGTTTCGTACTTCAGGATTGGGGCATGCCACTCGCAGTTGATCCCGTAGGGCACGTCGACCCCAAGCTCCGTTCATGACATGGACGAGCCACACATTCGGAAAATGGGAAACATCATTTGATACGGCGAATTGAAGCTTCCGCAATAACGCGTCGGCTAAACTCCATGGTGAATACATTTGAACACGCTAGTGAAGTTAGTTCGACAGCGGACGAAAATTTGCATGGTAATTGTCGTCAGAACCCAGCCGCGGCTTGCCGAAGGCCGAACTCTCGCTCGTCGACTCCGTTTCTTTCTCTGAACGTGAGCCGTTATCGTGGATGAAGATGTTTCTTTCACAGTCGTTTCTCTGCAGTACGTAAATTTCAGCGCTCGCGACACCGCACGAATATTCCAGTAAACGAAACTTCTGTTCATGGCGAAGCGGAAAATATCAGTAGGCGTGGAACACCAGTCGCAGTCCGCTCGTGAGGAGCGGCATGCTTGAGTTCAGAAGAGCGGCTCAACCAATGAGCGAAGTGGCGAGAAATCGAATGAAAAATTATCATGGCGGACATTTTGCCCCGGATGACTAAAGGGATTGCATTTACATCCGTGATCGACTAGGAAGCGTGTAGACGTCCCGATCGACCCAATGTCTGAGCTCTTCCCCTGAACAGCGAAGATCAGACACTCGACTCCGACCTGAATTGTGACTCTCCTCCGATCCGCTTCGAAGTGGAGGACACCGCCGCTCGCGGAGCTCCGCATTCTTCTGCGTGCAAGGGTCGAAGCTAGCCTTGCACAACCGCTTTTCCTTCTCTCGCCTCTCTCATGTCGAATCAGTTTTGAAGTTCCGGGAACAGACGAACTACGATCGACAGCTGAACTCAGCCGTCGATCTCCGGAGGCCGGCTGTTGTATCATTTCGAGCGAAGCTCAGTTTCGAGTCACACGATGCAGCACGGCATTCCTGTTGAGCGCGATCAACAAGTCGCCGCAGGCTTGAGATATTTTTCTCCAGTCAGCGTCAATGCTGTGGTGGCCGCTAATTGTTATTGAGATGAGTGACCCTGAGGGTGAATCATGGAAGACGCGGATCCAACGCACGGACATCTTCCGGACTCAGTCAGTCAGATCTCACAGTGAAAGTGTCATGAATTTGCCGTGCCAGAAAAGGAGTGCGTTGACGCTATCACTCCCGTACAGCGAGGAGGTGACGTGGATTTCTTCCGGAGTCTCGCGACGTTCGTCTTCCAGAGAACCCTGCCCTGGCGCTCGAAACGCGAATCGTAATTTTAGCTATAGGCTTCGCATTGGGCAGACTTCATGAGCCGGATTTTCAACTTTATGGAAGGAAACCCCCTGCCCCCTGATCAGAGAAGCGGATATCGCTCCAACAGATCCGCATAAAACCCAGGAATCGGAGGCGATTCCTCCGTTGCGCGGAAAGCGAAACTGCGGCATTCCGGGGAATGGAAAACGCGATGAGTACCTCGGAACAGCTCGAGGAAGTTCGACCAGGAGCGAATCAAACTTTCTGTGAAACTATCTTAAATGTCTATGCCGCTCAAATGTGTGTTCGGGCCTCTCCGGGTCCAATGCTTGGGGGGAAATGGATAATAATTCACTCATTGAGTTTGATTCTGGAAAACCATTTTTCGGGAACTTCTCGTTCAACTTCTAGAAGCGACTCCCGCGGTCGGGCTTGCTCGGCGAGATCCTTGTTGTTAGGAACTCCGACGACAAACTGGACTCTCTGATGTCCAGCTATGCGCCTTCGCTCATGTCACCCCTCGAATTGTCTTCAATCTTCTCAACCAATGGGCGTGTTCGAGCCTCATTTGTGCCTCGTTTCCCAATCTCCAGACCAAGAATTCCTACCTTATGACAAACGTACGGGGAGTTCAAGCAGTTATTCCGTTTTCCCCCCGGATGAACTCTCGGAGTATTGTGGGAGGCCTTATCGAGTACGAGACCGTTTGAGCTCGGTCAACCTCAGCGATGGGTCGCTTGCGAACAGATGCGCTCAGTATATTATACCTGAGTACCTTTCATCCGGAAGGAAACCATTTGGAGCGGGTGGGCGAAGTCGCGGAAGTCGAGTCAAACTTCGAAGGTACCTGCGCTACCGCAGGGTCGTGAACGGGATTTCTCCCGAGAATCGAGCCTAGACCGCATTTTTCTCTATGCGATGCTCCCAAAGAGGCGACCCTCTGCAAAACCTCATCACTAGGGGAAGAGCTCGAGCTCTCCAGCCTTCATCTTTCAGAGCAGCACCAGTGCTCGAGTTCGCTCAAGGAGTCGTGGTGCTGAGTAATCGGTGTCAGAAATCTTGAGGGGGAAATATAAGCCCCGGTTGAGGGTTCCTGATATGCGTCTATTTTCATTCCAGGTTCTCGAAAACCTCAGCTCCGTTGCCATCTCATGCAGAAAGTTAAGGACGTTCTGGACCGCAACCCGTCTTTCCCCTCCCCGCGTGCTGCCTTCTTCGATTCGATGCATGGAAAACCTCTGCAGGATGGATGATGCAGCTGATCGCATGAGCACCCGCGAGCCGGAAGCGGAAGTCTCGAACTGACATGGCGCTTCTCCTTCATTCCAGGACGGAGCGTGGTCGGTTCTCAACTGTTCCAGTGCACCTCTTGCTCGTACACTAGTTTCCGGTCTCACCACCTCAAACGACACAATCGAATACACACCGGAGAGAGACCCTATTCGTGCGATAAGTGTTCCGTAGCGTTCTCTAGAATCGATGCTCTGCAACTCCATCGGAAGACCCATGCTAAACAAAACGCACTCGTGTGTTCGATATGCGGTTTCACGTCACTGACGGAAGACCAATTGAAGTTGCACGATCGGAGCCATCAGAACAAATGCTCGTTCTGTGATCTGGTCGCACCCTCCGTCAAGACGCTTCGACTTCACGAGAGAACTCATCGCGTTTTCACGTGTCGTCACTGCGCGTTCTCATCTGTTTACGAAAGGAGAATAACAGCTCACGAACGATCGGTCCATTCCGGGACGATCCAGCACCTGGAGCCGATAATTTCCACGAAGATGATCGACTCACCGAGATCGAATATTTTGTCGTCCGGGCCCATGCACGAGAACGTTACGATGAACGCGGCGATGATCGGTAACTTCTAATTACCTAATCGAGAGCTCAATCCTTGAAGGTCCAAAAGCGTTCTCCTCTCCGCAGAGCTCGGTCCCGCCGGATCTTTGTATCGTAGCCTCGGTCCCTTATGAGTCCCAAGTCATCGGGTCTATGAGGTCCACAAGGAACGAGTCCTGACATTAGTGAAGACACTTGTATCTCGAAGCGACAAGCTTTATATCATCCGACTTCACGAGACCGTCCGTCATTCGACGCGCCTGCGCAGTCAAGCCCAGTCACGGTCTCAATTCTTATTGGTCATGAGTCATGATTCACAAGGAACTATCGGACGCTTCGACTTCCGCGGGAGCGGACAGCCGCCGTCTCCTCTGTGTGGAGTTTAAAATCTGAAGCTCACCGTAGTAAACGATCCTCCAGTCATTCTCTCAACAGTCACATAATAAATAGATCAGAATACTACCACGTGATACCTACCCGAAGTCTTCCATTACAATATACATCGAAGCACAGCATCGTGCATCTCTGAATGAATAGCAAAATAGGGGGTTCTCTCACTCGTATAATATAATAACTAATAACCTTAGTTCAAATCTTCACCGAGGAATCGATGGTGATCTGCGTGCAGATACTGGGTGTCATACTCAATGTTTGCAGGGATGCTTTCGACATTTCCCTGATGGCCACGGGAGGCCGTCTTTTCGTGAATGGTAAGTTCCTCCAGAAAGCTTCCCTCACTCGTCGCTTACAAACGAAAATTACGAATAGGAAAACCCCGTGGAGACAATTGAGCAGGCCAGCGATAACGTACAGCCGGTGGTAGCCAGTAAGCCACGGAATGAACTCAAAAGTCCAGATTATACCCATAATTAGCGAGATCTTCATGTAGAGGTGGAATCTGCGGAGAGAGAGAGAACTTCGTTAAAAACACGTCATCATCGCTCTATGGGGACGCAATGCGAGGGGAGGCCTACGAGTTGGGAGCGGCACACGTCGGACGGGCAAGCTAAGCAGATCGGGGTCATCGAGAGACCGAACTTACGTTCGTCGGTGTTGAGCACACTGAGAAACGTTTGTCAGGTGCATCATCTTAGCCGTGTACAATGACCAAGCTGTCAGAGCGAAGATGACACCATTGCACGCCAGGATGAGACCTACGGGCATGTTGAAATACAGCACGTACGCTAAGTAGCCGTTTAGCCAACATTTGCCCTCTCCGAAATGAGGTTTGTACCAATCTTCAACCAGATCGCTGAATTGAAGCAAAACTGTGAACGCGGTTACGATGAAGGTCATCGACCACGCGTACATTGAATAAGATGGATATCTGCAAGCGGGAAATTACACTGAATATCTCTTTAGTCAAATAATTAGACAGGGGGAAAACTTCTCCTCATTTTCCGCCACCGTCTCGCATTCAGACACTCTTCACAAATATCCTCTCTATAGTTGTTTTGGAGAGCTATCATGGATTGCTCCTTCATTTGAATTTTCGTGCCGAAGCGGAGCAGCCGCAGCAGAAGCGCGGTCTTTGACTTTAGAGGGAAGAAGTCGATATCTCGAAAGAGTCAACAAAGCCACAAGGCCGGATCTGACTGAGGTATTGCTCACTTGTCTTTTCGGAGCGTCGGATGATTCGATCCGTTCGGGGTGAGGGTGGCGATTGCCTGCCATATATCGTACGCCATAACGTTCGTCCAGAAGAACACGGCAAGGAAAACGCCATGATGAACGATTGATAAGGAGAGACAAATCGAGGGTGAGAGGAGATCTCTGGCGACCAGGTCCATCAGAAGTCCTGAAAGAGAGTCTTTCTCATGAGTATCCCCATCGGGAAATTCAACCGGAAGAACCCGCTCTCTCCCCGAGTGAGTCGGAGCTCGGCGTCAGAATATACGGCGGAAAATCGAGACTCATGTATCGTCGCTGATATCGTGCGACTATCGTTGCCCGTTGTATGGAAGTGATCCGGCTTTCGGCTCAAAATGCGGCTCACCGATATAGACGATGACGAAGCATACGGATAGCGTAATTACGTTCTTCCCGTGCGTTGTTCTCAATTTAGGTGTCGCGCAATAGACGAGAATCACGGCCAGCAGTAATATCATGGACGTGCACATTAGAGCGACAACAATAGGGAAGAACTCCTTTAGCTCGTTCCGGTCTCGTGTGAAGATGCTGTCCGCTGTAAAAAGAAAAGCACCATGATGGACATCGATTTCGATGATGTCATGCGTTCTCGGGATATGCGCGGCTCCGGATGGGCCCTCGAACTTGACCCCAATCTTGCTTGCGGCCAAAGCATGAGAATTAGGAGATTTTTTTTGCTTTTTCTTCCGTGGTGATTCATCTCAATTTTTCTGTTCCGGAGAATTTGTGATGAAGCTCCCTCTCTGGCGAATGACGACATCATGTAGCACCGTAACGAGCTCGATCGCCATCGTCGGGGCGTGATTTCGTCGGGAATAGCCACCGACGGAGCCTCTATAGAACAGGATGCTGGCATGTGCGTAACGTGGAAAACTGAAGGTGCCCGACGATTGAGTCGGACCTGATGGAGAACCGATGCTGTTCCCCTTTCACTGACGTCTCGCGTGACAGTGAGCGACGAGCGCGTTCCTCCAAGAGCTCATCACTTCAATATACGCAGATGCTTCGGTTTGCGGCAGACACTCGAATTCCGAGATTGGCAAGCCCAGTGTACGATCGTACTGGAAAATCGATTCGGATTTTCTGCACGAGCAGGTTGACAACTTCAGAGATGCTCGTCCGGACGAGCTGACCGTCTCCAAGATCCTACACAATCAGGCAGCTTCCCGCGTCTGAGTGAGTGAGACACACAAAGAAACTTCCGTGGCGAACGTATAACCGTGGACTGATAAGCGACGCGAGATACGTGGAGGTGGAGAACCTCGTCTTCTGGGTCACACGCTCTTGTAGGAACTTGCAGACAAACAAGGAATCGAATCGCTAATTTGTTGCTGTTACGTAGAGGGCAGAACATCGCTACGGAGCCCGGAAAGCGGGATGTTCCTCCGAAATTCGATAGAGTCACGAATCTTGAGGTTAAATCAGAAAAATCGGAAATCCATTCACGTCGAGACAGCTCTTCAGCTCCGGGAAACTTACTCGTGATGTTGCTGTAGTACTCGGCCGGCCGCGTACGGTCTGTGTCGTTCGAGAAAAATTCCAATATCCATGAGTGATTTCCGTCTCGGAGCAAATAGAGTAATGGATTGACCGCGTAGAAAGCTTTTCCGGCGAAAACTCCTTCGTATGATGATCTGTTCGTTTCCAAGTGTCGCAACATTGACTCAATCTGAAGACGTTGCTGGTACCGTTCTGAGGGCGAAATAAAGATCGACGCGGTTATCCAATTTGCTCAAATAACATTCTTTATCTCAGGATCTGTGAGGGACAATCATTGATTTGTTGCTGCGGAGCCATACTCACCGATCGACTCGGCCTCCACCGCCGTCGAGGCATTCGTCGATGAGCCTCTAGCCCAACCCATGTAAACGGCATTCAGGAGGAACTCGGAGAGCTTCCCGACCTCAGTCGTACTCATCTCGGTCGCCGAGCATTTCAGAGCTAGACTTTGGTTCGCGTTTCCTTCTCCATTTCCTCGCAAGTTGCTCTCAAACTGATCCGTTCCCGCAGACTAACCCATGGCTCGGTGCTACGGGGGTCGAGACTTGATCTGAAAGCTGAGGAAGGTTCTGAGAACGGATCGAAGTTTTGTGACGCCGAGGTCCCAATGAAGGAGGTCACTCCGAGCGGAGTCTCCTCGAGGATTAAGACGACATTACACGTGATAAGTGATGAGTTTCCATGCTTCTTGGCAATCGCTTCCGTTACGATAACAAGCGAACGAGTAAACTGAAGACTGCTATCTCTGTACATCTGTTGGACCGGATGCTCTCATCTATAGGAAGCATTCCACTCCACTTTGAGCAATGCGAGCTAGGAGTGGCATGTGAACGCTTCGAAGAGCGAATCAAATTCTCGTCTATCGTGTTTTCATTCGGAAATTCCAAGCAGGGAATCTTTCTCGCTTTTCTGCCAACAGAATACATGAAAATAGCCATCATTATCGTACAAGCAGCCAGGTACTTCAATCACTAGGGGCTCCTGCAGTGGTGTTGACGGATAGAAGCGGCGGAATAAGCGACAAATTTATCTCGCGATGCTTATCTCTCCGCAGAGCATTTCTCTCTGTTCGTTTTTGATTCTCTCGCGGAACACCTTTGCTTTATCACTTTCTAGATTGCGATGACCAGAGCCACCCTCTGCGAACTTGGATGGAACAAATCCTACTGTTTCAGACTGCGACGAGGAAAAATTCCTCAGCCCCCTCGCCGCTTTCGGCGGAAAAAAGAAACAAAAGTATCTTTCTCTGAGACAATTTCAAATTACGTTGGCGATATCCCGGTCTTCCGACGGAATAGTGGACCATACGAGTCGGGGTATCAATTAGTTTCGGGGACTGGAGAGTGAACGGAAAATTCCATGTTAGACGTTCGTGCACGTTAGACGATTCCGAGATCTCCATCCGACTGTTCATTTCCGTCGGGACCCAAGTTCGAGTTCCGACCGTCCAAAGCATAGGATAGCAGCGAGAGATGAGGACAGCCCATGGGAGTGGGAATTCCGCCTATGATTCAGTTCCACTTCTGACGGCTACGGCCGGATTGTCAGTATCGCCGATCTCAGTAGAATTTAAGAGTTACGCAAAATATTTGCTCGTCCTGCGGAGAACAACTTCGCAGTGAAGACTGACGACTTCTGACGCGAGATCTGAGACTGTTCACACCTCGGTGAACTTCATCCATTCAATGGACGTTTCTTCTGAAGATCGATGTAGCTCGAAGCTGTGCTGTGGTCGGGGCTTCCGACCGGAGTAGACAATATATAAACTTTATAAAGAAGAAACCGAGTGTCGGCGTCTCGCTTCCATGAACATTGTGAGGAGTGTGAAAATATTTCAGTCTGACTTACAGAAAATCTAGAAACTTCGTTCCTGCTCGACTTGCTTCGAAACATCTCGATTTCCTAAGACTTGCTACTCGAGAAGGATGACAGCCGAGTGACATCGAAATTGCTATTCTGGAGCGTCAGGAGCACTAGCAGTCCGATGCGTCTGCGGGGATTCGCCGTAAACAATATTAGGCTGGCCTCGTTCAAGCTCGCCGCAAAATTGCCTTCATAATTTGCTTTCTAGTTCGTTTCATTTCGAACAAGCGATGCGACGAGTCGACCGAGAACTATGCCGAAAATGGGAGAGATGGAGAAGATTCCACAACAAACGAGGAGTTCCACAAGACGACTCCTCTTAATTACTTGCTGAAAACGAGGAAAATCTCAGCTCGAAGGTTCTCACAACATTTCTGAAAACTGCGCAGACCGAAGCAGCGGGCCAACTAATAGACATGGCGTTCGCTCACAGCGAGATTCGTGGACTCGAATATGTTGATTGGAGTTCTCTCTCCCCAGACACCCACAAATTTCCCGCAAGATTGGCATCGCTCTAAACTCTGGGAGTCAGTGAATAGAGTACTCCGAAGGTTCCTTCCGCAGCCGGTGGAGGATCAGCCCGAACCGGATTAACCGATAAGGAGTCGTCGCTCTAATTGCCATCGGATTGCCGATTCTGCGGTTCCGACTGGCCGAACGAGGAAACTCTCGCTGGGAAGTGAAACTTCTGTACATTGAAGCCTTTTATTGTGAGCAGGGTTGACGACGCATGATGTTACTCCCGGACGGGGTTCCCGAACCATGTGAGAATGAGGTGGCAACTCAGCCGACGAAGAGAGATTTATGAGCAACGTGTCTCGGCACAGGACCGTCTCAAGCCTTCCAAGTCTGTTGGCACAGCGCCGTCCGGGCTCGAGAAAGTTCACAATTTTTTTCTAACATTCGGCGCTCAGAGTCGAGTTCCGCGAATGGGGTGCACCACGACCCATGATAAGCTGGAACCCGATTGGCTTTGCGAAGAGAGCGTTGCGCCCTGACTTACCCCGTAAGGATCCGATCAGCTGGGCCAGAATCCGGAGCGGAGGTGGGAACACTCGTTGTATGTATGTATGTCCTCCTTAATGACTGAGAAGATATGTTCGCTGTCCCACTGAATTGTGAATCGAACTAACTGGCCGAGCGGCAACTGAAGAGAATTTTGTTGGCAAACTGTAGAACGCCGCTCTTACTCTCACGATAGCGCCGGAAAAGTGGGGAAGGGTTTCTGGCGTATGCTTCGTCGCACTTCACGACGGCGGCGACGGCAATAACGTCCGCTGCGCGGCTACCGCCATCCGCGGGAGATCCCTCGCTCTGGGGTTTCGTTCGGACGACTTGATGCCAAATAAAATTACTCGGGGCGGGTCTGCCGTCGGAATGGGGAATGGGGAATGTGGAATCCCGAAACAGTCCCGAAATCGTTCGATGACACGCTCGGTATTCGACGTCGTGAGATCGGTCTCTCGGACAATCGACCGGATCAATGGATATTCTCTCGACATGGATGATCTCAGTGATGCGTCCGCGGACGTTTTGCTCGCCTTGCCATAGAATGACTCTCGCGCGGCGAATTCATTACGATGCATCATGGAACGAGGTTACAGGTTACCGAGGTCGATATCAATAGATTCGCGAAACCATCATCACCCAGAAACATGTCTTGATACTGAAACGCACGGAGTTTTTTCGTCTTATGGTCATTTATGAGAGCTTCGCGAGCCTCTCACAGATGTCCCCCGAATGCGGTGCTCACTAGTTCGACGGAGCTCCTCGAAGCGACTCTCTCTGGGCGCAAGAAGCGAATTCAGTTGAGGCGAGATTCCGCGTAAGTCCATTATCGCTGTGCGACGCATCCTCCTTGGCACCTTGGGAACTTCGAAGAATTATCGGGGATCCATTCGACGAGTCCCGACGCGCTGGGAGCGAAGGCGTTAGAATGACTTGGTTTCCCAACAACCGGAGGGTGCGAGCCTCAGACCGATATCATGAGCGTTTATCAGCAGCGTAGTCTCCGTACGAGAAGGTGCCAGAACCGGTCATTCTGTTCTGGAGGAAGACTCTGTTAATCGGCTCCAATGAGACTCGCCGGCGTGAGCTTCCCAGCCATTACACGTGAGGTGGATAATTATCATGTTCAGAACACACCGAAGTCCCCAGAAGTACAACATTATTCAATGATCCCTCGCGCTGAGCCATTCAGTCGCGAGGGGGGAAGGTTTCCATAGTTCCGTCATGGAGTTTTTCCGCTGAATAAAAAAATAGGCCATACCGACGAGATGGTCGGAGAGTTGACGCGCTCAGAAGTCGGTAAATTGAGGGTGAACTTCGCTGCGTAAAACTTGAGAGACAGCTCGGTTCAACGTCAGCTGCCAAGAGAATAATACATATACGTACGTAAGTTGGCTCTGTGGGACTCGTTCGCTGGAGCGATACTTCGGAGAGGTACGATTTCGGTAATTAGCGGGACGTCAGACTGCGTCTCTCGGCATCACCTCAGAATATGAGTGGATAATCAGCTTCACGAGTTTGGACTACGGAGGGGGGCTCAGCGCCAGGAGCGGAGCTGAATGCTGAGTCGAACGGGAAGGGGGAGGAGGCGGTACTCGCAGCGAGGACGTTTTTATTTTATTTGGGGAGGACTCTTCTAATGACTTTTATATAGGGAATAAGTTTATGCTCACTTCATGTTTCAATCAGAGGCAGAACGGCCGGAATATATTTTGTTTCGCAACGTCAGCGCCCTCCGTGTTATCGACGGCAGCGATCGCACTATTGTCGACTTGTTGCTGCAAGGCGAATGGAAGGCCTGGGAAATAAAGCGGTATTGTAGGAACGATGGGGATCGGCGGTGTTGTGAGTCCGGGTTGGGGTTGGCAAGCGAGTTCTGTAGACTTCACCAGCGGCGTGTCCGAGCCGCCTTCCTCTTCTTTCTTGTGCTTGGTGCGGCGGTTTTGGAACCATACCTTAATCTGCGGATTCGGGAAATTCACCATGTGAGACAAATCGAAGAACGAATATGCCTAACGGCAGAACACGAAGTCCGGAGTACTCTACCTGATTCTCTGAGAGATTCAATTGTTGAGCGAGCTGAGTTCGTTCTTTTCCGACGACGTACTGTTTAATCTTGAATACAGATTCGAGCATATCCAGCTGCTCCTTCGTAAACGTCGTCCGCAATCTCTTGGGTCGATCTAGGTCGAGAGCCTTCGGGAAGACGAGCTCCTTCACGTTTCCGTGGGCATCTGCGGGATTTTTAATCAAATGAATTTCCAGCCGATTGAATCACACGTGTCGCTCTTGTCTTTCAAAACTCATTTTGGCGACTCCCCGTGCCACGAGAGGGATTACCCCCACGACCGGTACCCTTAGGCCTACGATATGCTGTCTTTTCGTTCGACGATGACAGTCAATCAGACTGCCAGACACCCGAGCAGCCAGTTAGCTTACTCGCAAGCGTTCATAGAGTCGGATTCGAGGCCTTCGAATCGGTCGTCTCGAGCTGCTCCTAACCCATCTGCTCATAAGTGTCTCATAACGTGAGCCTTCAATAAAATCCATATTTGCATTGGCCTGTCTAATTCCCTGCTATACCTCTCCGCGGAGTCTCTTTTTCGGTAGTTCGCTAGCGCTACTCGGTCTGCTCATCTGAAACCCGACGCCGCCATATGCCAGCCAGTCAGCCCATTTCTGCTGCTAGTCAACTGGCTATCTCAGCTCGCTCGCTCCACAGACACAGGAACTCCCGGCGATGATGTCAACCTCCCTCTCGGGAAGATCTCAACGGAGCTCACTCCGCCATCAATTGGGCTCTTCATCGTCTAATCATGCGTCAGAGAGCCCGAGGAGTTTGGTCATTCTAACTCGGAACACGTTTCTTTGTGCTTCGGAGCCGCGCCCCTGTAGACGAGGAAGGGAAAGATTTCAGGAGGTTGCGAGCCGCGAAGGCGGGAAGGCGTCCTTAGTCAATCCCCTGCTCTGAGAGGAGTTCTCCCGGAGTACTCGCCCTTGTCCCGGATCTCCCCTTCCGAAGTCTTGGAAAGTGACAGAAGAATTATTTTAAGTTTATTCGCTGCCTCTCTGTAGCTGGTAGCACTCCACAATACCGGTCCCGTGAAAACGAAAGCCGGTCGAGAGACCGCTGGCTGTAGCGAGCAAAACAAACGTCGCTCTCTTCATGGCTTACTTCCTACGATCTCTCGTTGGGCGGTGTTTAGTCATGGAGAAGTACTCGTCGTTTATTTTGGCCATTGTTGCATTCTGATCGAGTTGCTCTACAAATAAATTGCCTTCTCAAGTAGCTCGGCTAGATGGCTCTCGACGGTGAACTCCAGCATGAAATCAAAACCCTCACTTAACTTCGGCGCATCTCCAATAATGCTCTCGTAGAGTGAGTCCCCCCCCCCCGTGAATACAACGGTCTCAATGGACGAACGCCGCGTTGCAACGAGGAACCGCATTAGACTCCTCTCATTCGCCTGAACCCCAAGAGAATTTCCTTCAGTGTGCAAGCGGTCACCTCTCCGAGTTCTTGCGTTTGCGGTGTCAACGGAGAAAGCCGGCAACTCCGAGGCTGGATCGAAAGTATGGGCCATTTCGCCATTATTGGTATTACGGCATCCGTTCGAAGAGCCGCGGGAGCCATGGCAGCCGGAACCGGAGGAAGCTTCGGGCGGTCTCGTGTCAACGACAACCTGTTTGCGATATGCAGACGACCCATCAGGCTTTCAAGCTCGGGCTACCCATTGGCCTTCCGAAGGGTGGGCCTTCGCCCGGGAATTCGGAATCCTCTGAGGAAGCTCGCAAGGGAGACATCGTCCAAGTCTCTCCTATAGTCGATGAGAGGAGACGACGCTCACGGCTTCGCGGGGCACGGGCTCATGGCAGGATCTGATCCGATTGAAAACACGCGAGAAAACGGCTTCCTTTTCTCTTCGGAAGTCCCGAAGCGAAGGGCTCGGATTTTGAGAAGGAGGCTCGACAATGAGAGCGGACGCACACCGATGAAGAGGGTCCACCCATTGTCAGCCATCAACAGACAAAGTGACATCATCTCAGAGAGGTGATGTGTATTCGTCCCCGCGCGTCGGTGAACGAGTTCTGTGTGAGTACATGTGCCCGTACGAGTACAATGCCCGATTGTGTCGGCCGAGCATCCAGCCATGATGTGCTGAGAAGCTAATTTGCAGTCTCCAAGGTCGGTCAATTGCGGCAGACATGCTTCGCAGAAGTTGACATTTCGTTTTATTTGGTCCGAGTCGCAAAACCATTTCGTTCATTTGCGGGACGGCGAATCGTTCTGGGCTCTGTAGGCGGCTGCACGAAGAGACCCGAACAGGGCGAAGACGCACCCTGGCTCGTCGTGCAGTATCGAATTCCTCGGATCTTCTTCCGTGAAAAGATCAGCGACTACACCCGTGTGGATTGTGCAAGGTCATCTTCGGAGGCGGGTTTCTGAGAATCACCGTAATTTGTTGCACTTGACATGTTTCAGGAGAAAATCAATTGAAGCTAACAAGATGTCCGAGGAGACAAGTGCAGTGCCTCTTGAAGAATCTTGAAGCATTGAAATTCGGCTTCTTAGAGAATCTCTTGTAACTGCCGAATCTTCTTTACGACTTTCCGTGACGGACAATACTCTCGTCAACTTCGCGGAATTCTCACGCAGCCATTGACGTTTCACATATACGCGAAAAACGCCCGGATAGGCACCGGCTAGGCCTCCAACACTCGCACAGCGCTTTTATCAGAGAAACTCCGAAGCATGCTCGCTCCTTCTACTTGATCCGAACGCCCGGCGGTGAAACCCAAGCCGCGGTTGGAGGCAATTCGAATCTTAGTGTGTTTATCATAACAAAGCTCTAAACGAAATCATCGGCATAATGGTTTGCACGGCGGGATGCCGGATACTTCAGTTTGCTCTCTATATGTACATCGATGAGCCTTCATGAGGGCGACTATTGACCTAAGACTGATGATCAACTTCCTCCAAGATCATGGTACCATGGAAGATTCCGATATCGGTCTTGAATCCGATCTTTCGATTTTTCGGAGCTTACGCGAACATGCCAAATTTTCAACAAGTCGAAATGGACTGATTTCGACCCCCCACGCTCGAGAGATCGGATCTCATCCTAGATTGGCTTTATCGAAGCAGTCCTCGATTTTCGGCACAGACAACGGAATATCAATGGGAAAGATGTCGAAGAAAGCTCTCGATCAACAGCGAATCTTGTCTCAGTCAGAGAATCGGAGTGTGACTTTGATCGACGGACTTCGCAGGTATCCGTGAGTTTCAGACCAAAAGAGCCGAAACGCGTGAAGAAATTCCACTTTCGAAGTACCTACCCGAGCTTCAAGGCGATTTCCTCGGTCTCTGTTTCCTCCATTGAATTCCGAAATTGCTATTCCTTCCGCTTTACGAGCCCGCGAGTACTTTCATAGACGAGAAAACAACAAGAGCGACCGTTCATTGACTCTTCAAAGTTTCTACGAATGTCCGATGGCAACTGTAAACACGTGAGGGAGCACATCGCGGGATATTCATCTGACTCGGATGGATAATAATCTGATTTTCCCGTCAAAAACATGCCGGATGACTCTCGACGGTGGACTGCGAGGCGAAATTTCGGCGATCATACCATTTCAGATCACTGTCTGCACGGTGTTGCATGGACGGAATTTTTCACGGAATCGCGGAAGATCGGCTTACCTGTGATCGTGATGGTTTGTACGTAATCAGGTCGAGCATCGTTGCTATTCCGATCCGTCGTGTCCATATCCAAAACATATGTCCTCGCGGAGAATCTCTCTAATGGCGTCGAGATCTTCCGAGGTCCGTGTTTGAATTCGGCATCTCGAGAGATGCTCCGCCTCCTTGCAACGAGTCCGCCTAGTCTGCTCGGTGCGCGGCTTCATATTTCACTCCAATTTTTGTGTCAGACAGCCAATCGCGGAGGATTTTGTTTTTATTGTTCGAGAGAGTCGCTCTTTTCTCGTGACCAGCAGAGAAATGCTTTCCTGCCAGCGAGAATAATTCTGGAAAAAGTTTGGTTAGCGACATTCTCCTCTCCTTCAAGTTTTCAATCCTGTTCACTTCGATCTCGGTTTGTGCAGCTGGAGAACGTTGCCCGGCGCCGAGTCGAAGAATGGATTTTTCTTTTGGGAGACCCCCGATTTTCCGGATAGAAGAACATTTTCCTTCCTATGATCTGAGCGGGAATAGCCAGAAGTAATCGGTCGCCTTCCGGATCCGCGGGATGAGTACGAATGCTTCCTGAGAGAACATGGGCGTTTCGACTTCAGAACGTTTCCGGCTCATGTCTCTTCCTCGATTCTTCTCCGAATCGACCTCACGTCATATCCGACTTTCCGCATTGCCTGTAGCTTGACGAAAGCAATAAAGCTCGCGTGAGGTACACGATGGAAGAGAAGATGTCACTCCATTAAAACTGGCCCGCTCAAATCTCAATCCCTAGAACCCGTGACTGATCGCTCAATTATATTTTGACTCGGAACCATTCCGTTTGAGACGTCAACCTGAAACCGACTGTGGAACAGTTACGAAGGCACTTCCCGAATCCTCTTTTCCCGTATAAACGAGTTTGGAAGAGCTTTAGCTCGTAATCGACACCGTTCCCTATCTCCAGTACCCCGCGGTCCCCTCCGGGAAGCGACGCGGCTCCGATAAATCGCTTCCCGAGAACGTTATGACGTGACCCTTCCCGAACTCCCAACTGACGAGCGGAGGAATCCGAGGAGCGGTTCGACGTACCGAACACGGAAAATTCGCTTGTTCTGCATAATCGGCTCAAGCCCCACGTGCTTGACGGTGAGGAAAATTCGACATTTTCGTGATCCTCCACCGCCAGTCAGCCGTGAATCCGAGCTGTATGGGCATAGAGACCGAATCAGCCTTCTTTTATGTAACTTTCTGTTTTGTCAAATTTCGTTCCGACTACCCGAAGGATGGCTTCGGGAACTTTTCGAGCACGATGTCAAACTAGGTACCGGCTTGCCATGGAACTCTTTGACGACTCCGAAACGCTCAGCGTGATTTTATTCCGAAAATCGACCTGATCAAGAGTCAGGAGTGCCTCGAATTCGTGGTTTTTAAACGACTTTGGATCACCATAGACGAAGTCGGTCTCCTTGACATCGATGATATGGGTCTTGAGCAGAAAGGATTGACACCATCCGGAACTTCAATCGAAACACTCTTCGCGGAATCGTCTATGCTGCCTGCGAAAAAAATATGATGATTTTTTCCGCGTATCATTCCTTCCCGTCAGCGGACGAGGAATGGTGTCTACGATGTTCCACAGAGACGCAGCGAGCTCCGGTTTTTTTAATACATACCTCGGGAAGTGATGACAAGACGACCGTTCTCCCCCGTACAGAGTTCATCATCTTCGTTGACTACCCTCAGTGCAGAGATAGGCCGCCGGTCGGCGACCGCGATCGGAGATTTAGTGACCGGCAGTCTCGTGACCGCCGCAGTGGGCGTCGGCGCGTCATCTCGTCGCTTGAAAACGCTGCTGTCGGTGGTCTTGTTGCGGGGCATCTTCCCCATTATCAAATTATTCAAGTCTTTGACCGACGTGATGGAAACAGCGCGTTTCATTCGACTCCATCGATCCATGAGGAGCTCGCTCTCCTGCTCGGAAATCGGCGACTTCTTCTGATTGAGAGATTTTGGCACAGGATTAGCTTCCTCACTTTCAAGTAGGGTAAGAGAGGAAGATCGTATAGAAAAAACAATGTATTTTGGAGAAGGGTCAGCAGTCAGGGAAGCTCAACGAGGATGGGAAATTACTGGAACATGAGCGCGAGAGGAAAGAGAGAGAGAGTGGGGGAAAGGGTCCGCGCATCTTCGGTATTCATTCGGGACACACTCGTGTAGATGAATAAATCGCTCGTTGCAAATAGTGATGTCAAAGAACACACCAATCAACACCGTATGTGACCGACTTCCCGGGACTGATGTCAGACTCGATGCACTCCCTGAAGTTCGGATCGAGAGCGCTTTTTCTAAAACACCGATTCCCCTTTCTAAGGCAAAGTTTGTTCCAGCGGAATTTTGTGAGGTCGAGGAAGCTCTGAACTTCTCGAATGTTGGAGAATATTCCGCGAATTCTGAATTCATTCCGCGTCGATCAATTGCGGCTCCAAAAATCCTCATTGACAGTATTATTCAGAAACTCACCAAATCTTCAGGATCGCCCTCGAGGTCATCAACTGAAATTCTACCGGAAGTCTCGGGCGAGATCAGAAATCGTGTTGCGTTTTTCTGGTGATTGCGGTGATGAAACCAAGCCCAAACCGTCTCTATGCGGAGGTGCAGCGCACTTACAGCTGCAGGTTCGCTTAGGTAGTGACTGTCGCTCACCAAAGAGCCCGGGAGAGCATTCCGCTGTCGTGGAATCGGAGGGAGCCTCGGATACTTGGCAGGCAAGGCGTTTCCAGCTTCCAACTGAAAAAAGGAAGAGGCAGAGAAGAGGAACCGTGAGAATCGTATACGCCGGAAAAAGTCTCTACAACCGCCCGCGGTCCGGTGATATCTTCGGTGATCCACATCCCAGTTCCGAGCATTCGAGAATCGATACCGAACTTGAGCGTTGTGCGGCTTAACCAGACGGAAGCCGAACTCTTCGTTCTCATATGTTTTCTACAAGGATCATCGACGGAGACGCCGAAGAGGACTTTTGTCGAGAAGTTCATCCATCCGAGGGCCGAAAGCTCGAGTCTCCCGGATGAAAAGACATCGCGTGTCACTTCAGAGGCTCTTCCAACGTCTCACGTGATGGCGGTACTCAGATTGACGCTCGGACTACCTTATTCAGCTTGCAAGTAGTCACAGGCAGAGGCCAAATCGAAGGCGGACGTCCGCTCTTCCGCAGCGACCTTGCCAAAGTGACTCGCTTATTCGATCGTGAGTTCAATCGGAAGCGACTTCATTCGTGATCGGTCTCGGCCACGAATCCGGCCTACAATCGTAAGCGGTGCCGACACTTTCTATTTTTGAATTCACACGATATTTTCAGGTATGGCGCAATATGTAAGATATCAATTGCCCAGGAGTGCGCAGCGAACTACATAGAGTAAAGTCGCGAAAATAGAGCAGAAAATCACCTCGAGAGGAGCGGAAAGTGTTTTTTGTTATACATGCGGAGCTTCCACGTGTAGTACGAGAATTCGTTGCGACAGGCAGGAAAGGTGCACATCTGGATCATAGACTATCGAAGGAAAGAAACACAACTCATGGACAGCTCAACAGAAGGTGGATGCGAATATCGTTTGTGCCTGAGGTTGAAAGAGAAGAGATCCTATTAGACAAGTGCTTGAAGTTGCCTGAATCATGGTTCTCCGCTTCCGCAGAGAGAGAGAGTGGATTACGATGCATCGACGGAAGGAATAAAAAGGACGATCTGAGAGAACTCCTAATATGCATCACGTACGTTATCAGCCGACTTGCGCAACAGCCAGCGACAAGCCCCGGGTCCTAGTCTGCGTACGGGATAATTTTCACTATGATTGGTTATTCGATATTTTTAAGATTCGCATTCAACTCAGGAAGGGATGGCTTTCTTCGGTCAAAAAGATTCGCATCCGATATCCTGATTGATGACGGAGCTCTCGAGCTCCGTCTCTCAATTTATGGGGGTGGGGAAAGGATTCAAGAAGGCGACTTCATTCGTGATCGGTCTCGGCCACGAATCCGGAGAAGGGGAATTCCCCGGGCGGTGACATGGGGACTGGTGACTTCAAGATTCCGGGAACTCTTTCTCTCCAGGGTAAAAGCCAGTTGACAACTCACATTCGCGTTCATTTTGTTGGCTTCGCCGAGCCTTCTGATCAGAATTCCGATGATGACGAACATCATGAACAAGGCTAGACCACAAATTATGATGGCCACTAACATTCCCATGAAATTCCTTGCTGAGAGGGTAGGAGATTTAGTCATGATTCATGATGACGGGCTTGAAGCCAATCAGCGAGTGATTCGAATGAATTCCGATTCCTTCGTGAGAGCACTGGCCAGCGAAGGTACTCTGAGATCTAGAAATTTATGGCATCGCTCACAGTAGTATTTCATCTGGCGCTCAAGTTCACTCGGTGTGGTGATGAAAGTTAGAACGGCACCGTCGAGATCTGTCAGGTTGAAGCGATTCTCTCGCGCCGAATTCATCAGCTCGTCCCGAACAGATAAAAGCATGGGTCTATCATATTCGATATCCTCTGTCGTCGTGGGCGTGAGGACAAAGTCGAACCGGATGCTCCCTGGAGAAGAAGAGTCGCAGATGAGATCAGGGGTTCAGCTCATACCTCACTCCAAGGAGAATGGAGACTGGACTCTCGGAGGAGACGGATCGATAATGGATATTTTCGACGATTCATTAGTACCTTCGTAAACCTTTGCGTTCGTGATACACTCTGTTGGAATCCGGAATCTCTTGGCAATTTGAGCAATTAGATGTTTTTTGAATTTATCCTCGTGATCGGCCACTTTCGAATCGTAGTTCGCGTCGAAACGGAGACGCGTATAGACTGGAAGAAAAGTTTTCCTCCCCCCTTACTAATTCCTCAGGGAATCACTGGCATAATCGCGCATGGTAATCGGTATGGGGGATTGCCACCGACTCTAACAGTTTGCCGCCCCAGATAGGAGTCAGAAATTCGAACTCACTCGGCTCGTCACGAGCTTTGGTTGCGTCCGGTGTCATTCCTGTAGTACTTTCGGGCGTCTGGGATGGCGAGTTGTCCTCGATGCTACTCTTCTCATCCATGATAGTTGACGAGGTCGCGGCGGCTTCCTCGCTGGGTTCTGAGGCGGCATCAGGTGACGATATACCTGTAGAGGCCTCGGGATTCTCAGCCGGTAAAGACTCCGCAGATGGTTCGCTCGACGATTCCAGAGGAGCCTCAGGCGCTTCCGAGCCAACTTCCGCGTTCGATTCTGGGGGCGTCCCTTGCGGTGCTTCTGTCGGGTCGTCAGCAGGGGACGAATCCGACTCGCTAGGAGCTTCCGAAGCTGTTTCGCTGGAAACTTCGGCCGTCGTCTCGCTGGACCCTTCGGGCAGGGCTTCACTCGAAACTTCCGTCGTAGACTCACTCGAAACTTCTCCTGTCGTGGCCTCAGATGAGGCTTCAGCTGTTGCCTCGCTTGACGCTTCGGGAACGGATGTCGTCTCTGCCGGCGTCTCCGGCGCTGCCTCGCTTGACGGCTCCGCTGAGGCCTCGCTGGACACCTCAGGAGCGGCTTCCGACGCCGCATCGCTGGAAGCTTCGGACGTAGCCTCAGCCTCAGTTGAAGCCTCGGATGCGGCCTCAGTGGAAGCCTCGGACGCCGCATCGCTGGAAGCTTCGGACGCGGCCTCAGTAGAGGCCTCGGCCGCCGCACCGTTGGACGCTTCGGACGCGGCCTCAGTAGAGGCCTCGGCCGCCGCATCGCTGGACGCTTCGGACGCGGCCTCAGTAGAGGCCTCGGCCGCCGCATCGCTGGACGCTTCGGACGCGGCCTCAGTAGAGGCCTCGGCCGCCGCATCGCTGGAAGCTTCGGATGCGGCCTCAGTGGAAGCCTCGGCCGCAGCCTCAGTGGGAGTCTCGGACGCCGCCTCGCTGGAAGCTTCGGATACCGCTTCGCTCGCAGCTTCAGAAGGTGCTCCGCTCGAAATGTCGGGGCTCGACTCGCTCGACGTTACCGGAGCGCTCCCGCCCTCACTAGTCGGACTTGCATCAGCGGGGGCATCTGAACTCACTTCGCTCGCTGCTTCAGGAGTTGCTTCGCTCGACGTTGGTCCGTCGGCCTCGCTCGGAGATCCTGACGTCGAAGCTACATCGGTCGTCTCAATGCTGGAAGAAGCCTCTGATACGTCTGATGGAGACGACCCAGCTTCAGAAGTCGTTTCCGGCTGCGTCGGATCGGAAGATGGGACCGCATCGGTCGTCGCGGACGCATCTGCAGAAGGTGTCGCAGACGATTCGGCCGGGACTGTGCTGCTCTCTGAAGTTGTTTCTACAAGTGCAAAATTTTCGAGATTCAATTATTCATTCAGAAATCGATTCTGTTCAGTCAGAGCAAGAAGGCCTGGAGTTTTGCCGCGGAATGCCGTCGATGCTCGTCCTTCAGCTATGAGCAAGCCTCGCAAGGGTACGTAAGAAGTCGAATCAAATCCCGACAATCGGAAGTCTAACTCTGATATGCAGTGATAAGGCACTAAAAGGCGCCTGCCGATATGGATCTGAACTACTCATCGGTCGACCTTGGTCGCACGTTAGCGCGATGGTCATAGCGTATGATGTGCTCGATACTATGCTCCGAGAATTCCTTCCTCTACGGTAGAGCGTATTCGCTTCCACGTATGAAAAAGAGCTCACCTTCTGCTTGTCTTCTTCGTCTAGGAATAGCAGGGAGTTGTCCGGAATCCTCGGGGTTCCCGAGCGGCATGACGAAATTTTCTGATCGGGAGAGAATTCAATTGATCTCCCTAAGTACTTCTTAGATTCGAATTCGGCGTCTAGAGCTTCACTCTTGAGCTTTGATCCTGACCGTACCCGATTCGGTTGATATTCCACTGGTTGAATACCGAGGGGAAGATCGTTGACTCCAGTCATCGGATCGTCTCGCCGCGTCGCTTGTGCGAACGATCATCATTTTCTCGATTCGTGAGCTCTGGTTTGTGAGTCTCCCGATGATAGTGATAACATCCGGAGATCTGGAAATTTTCGAGCGAATTAAAATCTGGTGATTGAATGAACGGCTTTTCGAGCAGTGCGACCGCGGTCTGATTAGGGAGCTTTCCCGGGAATAGGCGTTTGGAGCTCCCCTACGCAGTTGATCGATGATTTCTTCGTGGCTCGAGGCAGTCGTCTTTAGAATCTTTCATCTCAATACTCTCCTCGGATCGAATCCAAAATTGGTAACATGTGTTGAATCATACCAATCAGAAAAACACCATTCCATGTCAAGGCTATCGGGTGCATGCTCGTCGATAAGCTCTCGGCACGCCATACCTTGTCCTAGTTTCGATGTCGGCGGCATCGTCCCCTTCCGAGCTCGGGAAATTTTCACCTGCGGATCGTGACAGGACGTCCCTCTGTGCGTAGGGGTCATTCACTTCAAGTTTTGTTTCGTTGCACTGTCCACCGTGATGGAGCCTCATCTGGTACGGATGTATTCCGAAAGAATAATCCGCAGCAAACAAAACGATGGAAACTGCGATACTTTTCGACATTTCCCGAGCGATGACCCCAAGCAGTCAGAAAGAGAATAGCTATCTGATTGACTCAGAACTTGACCCAACAAATTGAGCCTATGAAGCACTCCAATTAAGCACGGATTCGCAGATGAGGGGCGGGGAGTTGAAACCAGAGGCAGGGAACGAAAGAGTGTCTCTGCTGGAAAAAGAGGAGTATTAGGAAAAATGGTTTGAGATCATTCTCGAGAAGATGAGATTCGCGAGAAAAAAAACGAACAGGTGTCACCGATATTCCGACGTCGCATTCCTCGGATATCCACCAGATATTTTGTCACCATCGCTCTCTTGGGGAGGGTAATGTTCGAAACTGGAACTCACCGTGGGCGTTGCTCAGCTCGAGTTCTCCATGGTCTCGTTGCTTGGATCACAAAGCTCGAGGAATTTCAGGACCTCGTTCAGGAGGAATTGGTGGCGAGGGCTGCCTACGGGAGGGTGTGACGGAACGCCGCCTGCTTGGCGATCCGAAGTCGAGAGTATGTCCTTCACGCATACTGTCACATTCAAATTTCAATAGCTTCCGCAGAAGGGAGCACGTTCTCATTCCCCACACCCCGGCTGAGCTCTAACGACGAGTGGGGGGGGCAGAACTGTCGGAGAAATCAACTTCATTCCCGAGAATTCTGAGTGAGATAAAATCGGGAATGCGGCAATTCTGACGCCTCGAACCGATCTCTGAAACGTGGTCGGCTCTTTTCATTCGCTGAGGGCATGCGCCTGGTCCGTCGGCGGAGTCGACGTGTCACCGTATGCTAAGAAATGAAGTTTTCCGAGGGAAAGTGTGCAGGCGATCGATACGCCGAGGAAACTCTCAAGGCCTCCGATGGAAATAACCTTCTGGGATGACATTTTCAGCTCGAGTAAGCGAAGATGTCCCATCTCTACGATTCTATGTAGGTACCTCTCGGATCCGACGTGTGTGTTGATCGACTCGAGACCGTCGTCAGACCCTCTTGTGAATATCCTTGACCCGCTCCTCGCAGCTCCCTCGGATGGCTTCTCGCATTCTATACATCGACGATATTCGGCGACGAAATGTGCCGCTCGTTTCACGAGAGCTCGTCAGATCTATAGAGCCTTACCGTACAGGGGCAATGGAACCAGGGTACTCGGCAGCTCCGCGCGACCATATAAAGCTTCATCGAGAGGCTCGGAGGGAATTCTGGCCGGTAGGATTTATCTGATCTAATCAGGAAATTATTTTCCTACGGAGTCGCTGAGAGTCTCCGGGGCATAATCATGGTCTAGATTCTCTATTATTCCAGACCAGACATCTCCAGGCTATTCATCTATGACACGACTCTTTCCCACATAAAACAATAGGTATCGCGTCACGCCGTTTCCAATCTCGCCGTACAGGATCGCACACTGCTGTGCTGACGACGGGCACCGGTTGCACGGGGACCTCAACGGGAGCATTCGCTGAGGCTCTTTTCAGAGCACCGCTGTTCCTTCGTCGAGCCACCCAGCTGGAAGCGATCTCCGGCTCCCGATTCTTTCTCTGAGACGTGCCCTGAGGTAAATCGGGGGATTCCGGCAGACGAGTTCAAGACCGGTGGACTTAATCATTCGATCGTTCGTTAAGAAAATGCTCCGTTGGACTTTCAATCGTTTCACGATGGATCATCGTCCCATGTCTTCGTGAAAAGACCGCCTCCTGAAAAATATCGCTTCGACTGGTCGCTCCTGGTGCGGCGGCCGCGGAGCGCCGATCGACTGTCGCCGTCCCGTTTTCTCATCTCAAAGTCGGGAACTAATTTCTTTCTTGGACACAACCTTCAGTGACGAGTACTCATGATGATCTTGGCAGAGACTATTGACATCCTGCCCGACCGCTGGCGCTGTCGAAAACTACCTTCTCATTTTACCTAATCACCCTTGTCAACTCCCATCGATCTGATTGATATCGACGAGTCTTGCAATTAATCGACTCGAATCGTGACTCATGACGCTTGAGCTCAATCATCAGGGGGGCAGGTACGCTGTATTTGTCCGACAAATTCCCGCTTGCCGATTACGCTCAGAAAAATCCGCTCATCAAAGCGTCGTAGTTTGAAGGACGAGAACTCGTGGCAGCCATTGCTACCCTGCCTAGTGATGGAAGTGAAAGGCTTCACATCGAGGAAGGGAGCATACGGCAGAACAATACCTAATCTTTAGACGATGAAGTCACATTGTAGATCCTGATGTTTCCATGTTTCAGCAGCTTCGGCTCGCACGAAGCGGCAATGCCGAAATCTTATCTGATCGCGCAAATTAAGTCGATTCCGCCGATAATTCGGGATTCACTTACTACCTGCTCGCTCTATCATCGCGGAATCTGCGCATGGTGAGCCGCTCATGATCGCTTTCCGCAGGACTTACAAGCAGGATGGGATGAACCAAAGGTGAAACGTCTCCGCGCTCCGCATGATCAGGGCATCAGTGTGATACTCTTGGCCTTCTGTGGGATGATGCGCGAGCTTTCTGAGATCGCGCAGCCGACAAGACGTTTCCACGGAGTGCGTTTTAAAAAGCCCGCCAACAGATATGGTCGGCTGGCGGCGCTCACATGTTTATCCAGAGCGCTTGTTTTCGCGGAGCTTCTCTGCTTTTCCGGGTCGCAGTTCAAGAAGAGGATTCCGGCGACTCGTGAAACACCTTGGAACTCCTCCCCGGACTTGGGAGCCGAGTCGACGCACAGCTCTTCCCCGCCGACAAACTCATCCCTCGAGGTAGGAGCTCGACAGTGTAGAGAAATCGTGGCCACCCAGTCGTTTCGAACGATTAGAAGAGGAGTCGAGATGAGCATCGATGCCGGAGGGAAGCAATCTGATGATGAAGATTAGCAATCCAAATAATTTCAAGCATTGGGCGAAGGCGAGAGGGAGCTGTCGAGAGCGGTAGTTCCGGACCCGATCACAACTCTCCAGCTCCAGCGTGAGCTACTCGAATCTTTTATCATCGTGTATGATCGTAAGCGGATTGTATTTCTTTCCCGCCTTCTTTTCTACGAACCCTGTCCCTTCTCGTTCCATCCGCGCTACATAGCGAATCCTTTGAGCGATGTGGGGTCGAAAGTTCATCAATCCTAATTTCTTTGCAGTCCACTGGAAAATGGCATCCGGATCGGCCGTGAAACCGAAGGCAGACAAACTAGTACGCTACGATCCGTCCGAGTATGAGCTCCGGAAGCGTCTGCCTGCTCAGATGCCCCGATCCCCGGACCACGTTTACATTAATATGAGAACTGATTTCCAATATCAGATGTTGAGAGCGAAAGAGATCCTTTTCAAAGGCTCAAATGAAGTGCACATCCACGGATTAGGAGCGGCGATCAATCGCGCGATCAACATCGCCTTACAGGTACGGGCCTCGTTATTGAGTAGCGAGCTCCCATTCGAAATGATTGCGAGTCTTCCTCGGGTATTATTCTTCCTCTGCTCGGGACTGACGAATTTTTCTCCTTTAGATCCGGGAGCACTTCGGCAAGGCATACGAAGTAGACACCCAAACCAACACTATTCAAGTGGTTGACGATTTCGAACCTCGTGAAGAACACATAGAGCCGCAATCGCAGACTAGAAACGTCTCGACGATACATATCAGAGTTTTCAAGAAAGACTAGGAAATCATCGTCGAGATCCTGTACATAATCCTGTACAGTATATTCTATATATGAGCGTTTTTCTTGTACAAGGAATGTGGTTTTGATTCTATTTCCTGTTCCCGTTGGATCATACCTATAGGATTCGGAAATCAGAGAAAATCGGTAGCTTGCCTACGATCAGGATCCGTGCCGAGGTGCAAAGACAATCGAGCTCGAGTGATGTTTTGGAGATTCGCTTCCGGGAGAATTATTCGCAGTACCGGAGTTTTTGATATCCCTCCCGAGCAAAGGGGTGGAAACGAGAAGATTCGTGCATTCGTCTGCCAGATCAAACGTGAAGTCCCGGAAAAGGGACTTCCCGCTCGAAAGAAGTCGACGCCGGGGATCGGCGGGCGTGAAAAACGAATACGATCGAGCGATTTCATGAGAGCCGTATTCCAGCAAAAAAGATGGAAGCAGTTCCGCTTTAAAGAGCAAGCTTATGAGATATATGGTATGAGTTGGAAAAAAAACAGCGGTCGAATGCCACGGTTCGGGCCTTATGCCGCGTTCTATAAGAATGATTGACACTCCGATTTCACTCGGAAGTTGTGAATTTCGTGACCACCTTGCCTCTGAGAATCACAATTTCAACTTGTTCCGAACTCCTGGTCGTGAGCCAGGCCCTGAACTCCGAAGCTCATCATCGGCAGAACGTCGCAGGACAATGCCGTCTGTTCCAGCAATCTTCCATTAGTGGCCGTTTATCGCTACGGCGGGGGCTTCTCCGTGCAACTCATGTCGATCACATAGGCTGAGGGACGACGGAAAGCAGGCCATGGCTCCCCCAAACGTTTTCGGTCGCAGAATCGAAGCATAGGCTCTGAGGAGGCGCGTCATCATTATGAACCCTTTCCCCTAAATCCTGAAATTCGGGGTCCCCTCCTCTCGTGGAGAAACTGTAGTGCGCGCCTGGTCCGGGCATCCTCCTTGACTTGGAGATTCGGTTCGACTGCATTAGAATCGAATCAGACTCCCAGAAAGCGAGCACAAAGCAGTCCTGCTCGTGACGCGGAATGTGAGCTCTGATCGTTAGTGGGGACGCAATCGATCGCGACGCACGTTATCGCGCGACTCAGTCCGACAGACTCGTCAGGGACATAGTATTCCCGAGACAGAGACATCGCGATGACGAGCATTAAAATTGACGACAGATAGGAATTTATTCAGCGTCGATTTCAAACATAAGTTCGTCAAGCTTTTCGAGAGATCTCTCTCCTCTGTACAGGGAATATTTGGTCTCTGATTCACACAGCGTCGTCCTTAGTGACAGAGTACGGTTCCGCAACGGGGATTTCTTCGCAGGCCGTGATCTTGACTTCTTTGATTGGTCTGTCGTTGGCTCCAGTGGGATTATTCTCGATTATCCGGATGACATCCATGCCAGCGACAATCTTACCGAATACCACATGGCGACCATCGAGCCAGGGAGTTTTCTTCACCGTGATGAAGAATTGAGATCCGTTGGTGTCCTTTCCGGCGTTGGCCATCGACAACCAGCCGGCGCCGTAGTGCTTGAGCTTGAAGTTCTCGTCAGCGAATCGCTCACCGTAGATAGAGCTGCAATCGAGATCATGGAAGTGATTAGGCACCCCCAATTCCGGCAGAAAATCGTCTGATCGGATCTTGTAGCCGCCGATGTCGAACAAGTTCGATCGAGGAAAGATTCGACTTACGCTCCACCGGTGCCGTCTCCTCGGGTGTAATCACCACCTTGCAGCATGAATTGCTTGATCACACGATGGAAGATGCTCCCAACATAGCCGTTCAGAGGAGCGGTCTCGCTGGTTCGCTTGGCGAGGCACAGCTGTCGGAAGTTCTCGACCGTTTTGGGAACTGTACCTCCGAAAAGTCCCACGTCGAAGGCGCCGATGTGCTTTCCGTCGATGGAAATGGCCATGCGAACCTGCACAGGGGAGAGAAAAAAATTCAGAGAGCCGTGCATGCAGCCGCAGGTCAGGGAACTCGCGATGGGCACCGAGTGTAGAGGAGTGACACGTCGAACCAGAGGCCATCCAATCAGTCCGAAACAATCCAATCCGGAATTTCAGAATTGAAACAGCGGTCTTCCCCAGGGCTTCTGCGAAACTTCGAGCAATCGCTAGGAGCCCGGATGAGGTCTCCGCAATATTTCGAGCCGGAGCTCCAATGGAATTTCGCGTGCAAATTATGAGCGTCATAACCGAGAATAAGTTTCTCGGAAAGTTTTTGGAGACGCACCTGATTGGTAACTTTCGGTCCCAGTCCCGTGTCCGCGAGGGACACCGCGAACAGCGATGGCAGAAGCGCTAGAAGTCTCATCTCGAGGCGTTTTGACCACGGTAAGAAAGCTCTTGCGGCTTATGCTTCCACCCGTGAGCGTATATATAGGCGGTCGGTGGAACCGGCGTAATGCTGCTGTTTGTGGTACCACGTCAGTTCTCTCACCCAGCACAAAGATTTATCCTCGGGCCACGCTGATTGGACGTCGCTCCTCTACTGGAGGGATCGAGGAGGGCGCGCGAGTTTTCGAATCCACGGCGCCAAAATATCGCGGAGCACTCGGCCCGCTCGCATCGGGCATCACACATGAGAACGATTTCGGCCCGAGCTCAGCCAGACCGGCGGCTTGAAAACTTCGGCTCCGAATCGGAGGATCAACCTAATTCCTTCAGTGTAGTCCCAGCCTATATCCCCCAAGTAATGATTCTCGATATTTCCCGACAAGATCTCCGCAAAAAATCGTTTTGGTGCACATGAGCCGCAGGAGGAGTTCAGTGACCGAGGTCTCCGAAATGGAGGTGAATGCCCTCGGCATTAATTTTGTTTCGGAAGTTTGTTGTAAAAGGCCGGCCGAGAACTCGAACAGAATGTACACGGTCACAGAATACTGTCATGCAGCTGGGCTTGATCATGAGGTGAAATGATTTAAGGATTGAGTTTTTTCCTCGGAGTGTCAGTCACGACGGAGCGCAGCATCGAATCCCAGATCGAACCCACTCGTTCCACTATGAGTTGTCGGCTTCGGAAGACATTTTAACCTTATTCGCTCGGCTCCTGATCGAATTCGTCTCGAGAAAAGACGATCGCTGACGGGCTCGATCGTGCTGAACAAGCAGCGACCCTCGAATCATGGTCGCATCATGTTTCCGAATCATGAGTAGGTTCGCTGAGCAGCGATTCCGAGAGAATGGGCTCTGCTCTGCATAAAAGGCGGCTCCGGCCACATTCACGAGACTCCGACGCATGGAAAGCGGGGGAAAAATTGCGCGTCTGACGCGCGAGTTTAAAATCGATGATGAAGAAAATATTCTCGAAGTACGAAACAGCTAGGGCTCGCTTTTATTTGCAACACACCGAAAACACTGAGCTCATGCTAGGGGTCCATATTTCCTATACCGCTCTCTTGCGCCCCTATCTAGGTCATAACCAGGATCGTGATGCTTGAAGGCGAGTGCTCTGTGGACGACTTTCGCGAGTAGCGCGAGCTTGTGCTTCTCATTGATTCGCATCTCTTCTTTCGTAGCCTTCGATCTCAGGCGGCCTTGATGAAGACAAGCCAACTGTAAAGCAAGAACATTTCGTACTAATGACCCAAGCCCCGCAGGTTTTTTATCCCAATATACACGGATGACGATGTCTGAATGAGCCGGGCGGGCGCCAGGTAGGAACGGTGTGACTCTCACCTTGTGTACCCGCGCCCAATATTCCTCGGTTTCCGGGCTTAATTCGTGTGGGTCAAGAGGGCGTCCAAGGTGCATCTCCCACAGCCACTGGGGATAGTCTTCGTCAGCGCCGAGCTTCACATCCTCTCCGGTTTGCTTGATGTTCGAGCCGCAGCAGTACGTGGCCAATTTCACGGGATCCGTCTCGACGGGATGTTTGATCCTCTGACTCTGCATGGAGGGGGCACCCACGGCTGTTTTACCCGGGCGAACCTGTGCGTAGCCCCGGAGGCTGATTGCAGCGCGGCGAAGCATCCTGGAAACGGAAGCGAAAAGGGAATGAGATTTCCCCTGGAGACCGAAATCGTCATCCTATGCTTGAACGGTGGACATATGGAGGAAACGTTTTATCCTGTGCATCGAGCAATATCGAGGTTTATTTTTTACACCAGATGTCTTGTCTGAAGTCTACATCATACATTAGGTAGTTTCGTCAATTTACACAACACCCCCACTCTCTTCTAGGCTGCCGCACGTGAGTGCCACAGTTTTGTAAATGTCTAGGGCTTCGCCTTCACCGATGCCGTAACCCAATTTAAGACCATGAGGATTCGAAGGCGTGACGCAGTCGTCGCCAACTTCCTTTCGTAGAGCCTTGTCCACATCGACTGCACTGAAAAACGCTACCCCGTAAGGGAGATCTCGCATGCCCACGCTAGACGCAAAATACGCTCTCACGTGAAGATTCGTGATATGTAGAGCGAGCGCCGCTCGGTACCGGTGTTCGGATCGAACCATGAAGCGAACTTCGTCATGTATCGTCACCACGAGTCGACCGTCGATCCGAAACTTGTCGAACAGGTACCGCATCGATAAGAGCATCAAATGCAAATAATCGACAGCGGAACTTTGGACGATCCAGTTCACCCGTGACATCATGTATTGCGTATCCACAACCGCGGGTTCCAGGGCTCTTGAGATCCTCGAACGGAGGAAAGGCGTTCTGGGCTCGGCGCTGCTGGCGTGTGCCTCCAATTTGTTGAACATGTGCGATTCCGTTCCACCGTGCCATTTTCCACCCCGCCGGTAGCCTTTCGTTTCGCTGAACATGCATCGTGCGAGTTTCTTGGCGGAAGCCTCATCCAGAGCCGGGTCGAAGTCCTTGAGTGAACGAGCCGCGAATTTCTGGCCAGCTCCGTACAGTCTGGCGTAATTGAGAATCTTCGCCTGATCTCGAGTACAGTGCGCCGTCGCAGCCGTACGAGAATGCATATCCGTCCCGTCGGACTTCTTACCCTGCAACGTCATCCAACCGAATGCGGTGTTCCCGTGAATTCCCCCGAAAGACGCGTCTCCGATAAGAGACGCTATCCAGAGCTCCTCGGAGTCGACGTCGGCACCGACAAAATGGTAGCCCTCGGGAGCTCGCACCATGGCTTTGAATTCGGAGCCTATTCTGTCCGTTTTGGCGTTACTGGCGGTCAGCCAAGTTTTTTCCACCGCGCGTCGACTCACGGTTCCGGCCGGGATGATTTTCGGGAGAATCGCGGCTCGGTCTTCTGATGTCCAGACGACCATTTGTTCTTTGATTCGATCACGGGCGTTCTTCCAGTAAGAAGTTTCCTTACTCATCTTCAGCAGAACGTTCGCACTTCTGTACTCGTCTGAACGTAAGACGTTCCCCTCGAATTTGCCGATGAAATCTTTCGACAGGGGATTACCAACGTTCAGATCGTTGCCTTTCTTATGAGGTAGCTTCCGGAACAGGATCCCGTCGCTCAGCTTGAGGTAGCTTTCAGGAGACGCGCTTGATTTTTCTCCAGGATGTTCTTTCCCCAATGCACCCGACTTGACTTTTTTGTGCTCGATCATCGTCTCTCTCATAGCCCAGATCGACTCTTCAACGTTGTCTGTGGTTTCTTCTTCGATAGATTTGCGGAGCAAGCTAAAATCTATCGTCTCTCCGCGGCTTTTCTCGATGAGCTTCGCATATTCGTCGCGGGGAAATTCCTCCCACAGAGGGCTCTCGTGAGATTTGATTTGCGAAGCCCTCTCCCGAGTCTCAGGCACAAGATATCCCCAGCCGTCTTCCATGCGGAAATGCAAAGGGTATCCATCCCACATGATCTTCAGCAAACTCGGAATACATCTTTTCTGGGTCGAGGTATTCCATGGACCGTGAACCCAGTCCAGATACTGGATTATATCCGATGGCGGTTTAGTGCACAGCTCAATATACCAGAGCGGATATCCGCAGAGGAATCGCTGTCGGGCTTGGAGACAATTCTTCAAACTCAAAGATCCTAGGGCGGGCGGGGGAATTTGGGAAGTTTTTCTCAGTTTAATCTCTTTGGCGCTCCAATCCAGACCCTGTAACCACACATCTCGTCGAAAGGCTCCGTTGTGGAATTTCCGGCAAGACTCGTTAGCAACTCGATGCAGGATTGAACGGATTTCAGATACGACGTCGTTGTAGGCGTTCTCGGATTCCTTGATGTATCGCAACCAATTATTGTCTACCGGCAGGTACGAAGTGAGCATTTCCATTAGCCCGAATAAACTGGCCTTGTGCGGCGATCTCTCCTTGAAGAGCGGGAGGACTTCGAGCAGTACCGAGCGCGTTGCCAAGACGTCTTTGAAACAATATCGCATGAGATTCTGGAAATCGGCTCGGACATCATCCGACGTGCCTTTCTCGAAAGTTTTCCTGATCTCCTTCTCCAGCCTGGCATCGCCTTCCCTGTACAGCTTGTGCACGTCGGCGAGGTTGTTCAGAGACGAGACGTCACTCCAGGATTCGAGGGAGTCGGACGGGTTCCGCTTGTTGGAAATCGTCTTGATCTTCTGATCGCTCGTCTGACCGGACACGCAAACGTGCAGAGATAAGGTATCCAGGAAACGGGTCTTGGAATTATGCGGCTCGTATTGTTCTCGGATGAAGGCGCGGTCGAAACCCACGTTATGGCCGACGATGACCGCTTCTTTTCCGGGATCGATACCCAGCGGGATCAAGTGTTCGGGAGTAATTCGGTCCACACGATGATCCCGTCCCCCAACCAGAGCGTCTGAACACCACGAGTACCAATGGGAGTCGGACAGAGCGACCGCAAGAGCAGGAAGATTCCCTTCTGTCACCATCGTTTCTACGTCGAAAACAAAAGCGTTCCCGGAAGGAGCCTCCACCGGCGTAGATTCCCCTGAGTCCGCTGAATACCGAACCCAACCCTTCCGGAACGCGAACTCTTCTGGCATGTCCGGTACTTTGGCGTTGAGAAGCTTCTCTATCACATCCTCGTAGGGTCTGCAATAGGTTTCGGCAATCCGCTCGAAATGTTCGACGACGGAGTACCCTTCCAGCGGTGGGAGCTGCAGAGACTCAACTTCGGGGAGACAATCTGCTTCTTTGTCCCAAAGTCCATGTTCCGTGAGGTGTTTCTCGATTTGTTTGAGAGTTTTCGCATCCGTTCGGGATTCCACCCCTCCGACAGCGGGGAAAATTTGGTCCCTGAGCCGCCGGGGCAGCATTTGTATCCCGACCTCATTTCTGCGCGTGGAGGAACACTTCCTAATGAAAAGCCTCCGCAAATGTCGGGTCCGACGCGCGAGCAGCATCACAGCATCCTCGTCCTGCGGGAGAGACCAAAGAATAATAGGGTCCACCGATGAACTAAAGCATTCCGGCCAAGAGGGTAGCACGAATTTTTCATCAGGGGCAGGATACCGGTGCGATCCGGGAAACTGCTGCACGAGGGGAACAGCTGACTCGATGGAACATCTGACGTTAGGGGAGACGACTCTAGAGTCTACAGAGGAACTCAGGACTGAATGCTTACTCTGAGGGAGATGTTTCGCCTTTTTGCACCTCACAAAACCTTTCAGAGCGGAATCACACGCGCACCAACGTAATTTGGAGAAGAATCGAATAGGCGCTTCATAGAAGCTTCGCTGGCGGGGACTCCTCTGGAACTTGCCGGGGCGTGTGCGGCTCAAATCTCCTGTCGTCGTTGACCCCCGGGGACGTTGACGTTCAACCGTTATTCTGGTGACGTCGTCCTCCGAGAGACGCTCGCTCCTGGGGAGCGAATCGATGGAAATGCAGGAAGGCGCGACGGATCAGCTGATGCTCAGAAGCTTCTCTGCTGCTCTTGAGACTGTCAGGAGAATCCCAAACACAACGAAGCTCCTCTTGCGCTGCTGGAATCATTTGTTCTCTGGCGCTTCGGTCTCGGTGTTATAATTTAATCGATGTTCGATGAGGAGCTAGTGGTTCTCATCGGCTCCTCCCGTTATGTGACTACGTGAGTTCCATGGAATCTTCGAACAAAAAGGAGGAGGAGAAAATAGGTACTCCTACAGCGCAGCGGGTCAGCGGCCGATGCATCAAGAGACCCCGCAAAGATGATGAGACAAACAACAGTCCCAAAGTGAGTTTCTGAGTGCCCGCAATTTCCTGGCCTCCAGAATCGTCCTCCCTCGATCGGCTCAGAGAATTCTGATGGCAGAATTCTTGAAAGTCGTTGGGTATTAGATCAGGGCGTCTCGAAGAGCATGGCGTCTCGCGTACTTCCCGACCCCGCAATGAATCGAACATACATTTTGGAGACTTTCTGCGTAAACTCCGGATTTTCCGTGTGGTAGATGGACCTAAATAAGGCGGAGGCACAGCTCCAGAGAGTTCGTGGCTTGGCAGACTTGCGAAGCTACTACGCAGCTCAAAGACTTCGAACGTTCCCAACCTCACTAACCCTAGAAGATCATCGAGCTCTATTTGCGAGGGCGTCAGGCCGCGATTCACGGATTCGACCGCTTCTTCCATAATAATTCCGTTCGAGTTTCTATTCATGTCCCGGAGCCGCGGAAAGACGCTCCCGCGGGACCGGCTTCCCTTAAGCCCGAGAGAAGAATCCCTTTGTAGTGGATTCCATGAGGAGGAGCCCTCGGAAAATTATTCCCGTGACGGAATCTCGCTTCGATGCGCCCAGTGAAATCTCTGGAAACTATCTGATCGAAATATTCGAATGCTGTGGTACTCGGGTATAGTCGGCGAATCGGGGTCCCCGTAACGGAGAAACGAGTTCTCCGTTGTCGATGACGAATCTCCATCGAGAACAGATTAGGCGTCCAAGCGGCTCATAGTAATCGGATACGCTGAGTTCTTCTCGCCCGGACCGCAAGTAGTTGATTATGCGGTTTGATAAATCCGAGGATCTCGCAGCACGTGCAGGGTATAAGAGCCGCAGCATATGTACGGTATAAGATCGTATCGATCGAGCTCCCGTAGAATGAATTCGGCGCGATTTGACAGCGTTCCGCGTTCCAGGTTTGTGTCCGGCGACTGCAGCATCATCAGCAACAACAGCCGCAGGGTCAGCAGCCTCAGCAACAACATCATCAACAGGGGCAGCAGCAGCAGGGACAACAACAAGCACAGCAGCAACATCCGCAGCAGCAGCAGCTGCCAAACCATTTACACCACCAAGATGGTTCAGTCACAAACCCGGTCTCGAGCCCAAAATCAACTCATCCCGAAAAGACTCGACGGTCTTGGGATCTTTGGACACACGAATCTAAGAACTGGTTCTTCGACGCGCTGTGCGAGTACGGGAAGGATTTCGACGCCATATACAATAGCATGGCCGCCAAAAGTCGCAAGAGCAAAACTCAGGGCGACATCGCATTCAAAAATAAAGATCAAGTCCGCTACTTCTACTATCGGACGTGGCACAAAGTTTCGAAAGCCTTGGGAGATCTCGGCGATACGAAGAAGAGCGTGCAAGAAATCTACGGTCTGGTGAACTACTCGGAGATGAGGAAAAAAATCGGTTTCAAAGCTCTAAATCCCACGAACGCGCCCCGTCTCCTGGAGCTCGTGATGTCGGGTCAGACGACAATTAAAGTCAAAGGGAAAAATCTTCGTATCAAAACGCCGGTGTGTCGCGCGCTGAGGATGGTCAACAACGTTCCCGATAAGTACAATGAAGGTCCCAAAGTCCCCACCCAAGTCACGGTGGAAATGCGTCCGGTAGATAACGCAGCCTGGACGCATGTGCAATCGTTGGCGCACAATCCGCGCGTAAAAATTTCATGTGGGCCCCAGAGGAAGATCGCGTCGATCGTCGACTTCATGGAGAGTCGATGGCAACCCGTACATTTACGGAAGAAAAATTCGCTGCTCGCTTCCCTCGAAGGTCTAGAAACTCCTCAGGAGCTGAAGAACTCAATTTTCAAATACGCGTCGCCACAGAAACTGCAAGTCCGCGTTTTCCCGAATCAAGTCCTCAAGCCCCTCGAAATCACGCTGGCAGACACGTACAGCAGTACGGACGTAAGTTTGAGCTCCTATCTGAAGCGCCTCGAAGCGAAGTCGGACGATGTGAAGAAACCGATCTCCGAGGTGAAGGCTCCGAATAAGGACTCGACCGATCAGAATCAGCCATTTCTCCAGCAATCTCAGCTACCCTCGACGAGGAACGAATCTTCAGAGGGCTCGACAGCGAATGTCGCGCTCCCCCCACCCACATCCCACAATGGTAGCAATAACAACAACAACAATTTACACATTCACCCGAACAACAACCTCAACATTAATCACAATTCCGCAGGTGCGGGCAGCAACCTCAAGAACAATATCGTTCCCAATTCTCCCTCAACAAACGGTTCGACTTCGGTTGCTCAGAACAGAGCCAAATGCGATAATCAGCCCAAGAAAGAAGTGAACGAGCACGGTTTCTTCACCGGATACGGGAAAATATCCGAAATCAGCGTGACGACATCGGTCGTCGACGAGGAAGCCTGCGATGGACTTCAAGCTCCGAATCACACGACTCAACCGGCTTCGACCCCTTCGAGCTCGGGTGATGACAAGGCAGAAAAGGACGGTCCCGTCGGACCGGGTTACACGACGGATTCTCTTTCGGTGATGACCGTGGGGGATTTTTACCTGAGACTGGGTTGCCCCGAATCGATTGTTCTTTATTATAATTTCCACGGGGACGACTATCCCGCGCCGGAAAACCGGGCGAAGAGCGTTCTCGATAAACTGATGACCGTTTTGTCGGCAAGTGTCTGTGATAGAAAACTGGCTCAACCCAAACCAACAGTGGCAGCCGCAGCAGCGGCAACAGCAACGCCGTCTACGTCGACGATCGCACCTAAGGCCAAACGTGATAGGTTAGCTGACAGAGCTGTCAGGGATCAGGAGTTCGCGGTACCGCTAGGGATGGCTCCTCGCGTGACGAAAAAAGACGTCGTCACGCTGGAACAGACAATCAAGATCGATTTGCCGCCTGGCAACCGTCGACATCGCACGAAACGCAAACCGATATCTGCCATGATGATTCAGAGAGCAATACAGCCGAGAACAGACCCCATCCCTACGAACGGTGTTGCACCGCAGAGCGTACCCGACGGAGTGGTCATTCGAAGCATAATGCCCGGTGCAGCCATCGAGACCACGGCACTCCCACCATCGGCCGCACCGGCGGCCTCGGTCGCGGTTACAGTTCCAGCAGTTCCTTCCGTTGCTGTTGCACCGACACCGCTTCCTGCCGCCGATTTCTCGATGGTCTCGGCAGTTTCCCTCGAAGGATTGATCGGTCACGCGGAGAGCCAAGCTTGCCCTCAAGACGAGATGCACAGAGACACTACCCTCGTCGACGACCGTCTCGAGACCCCGAAAAAAGTTTTCAGTTTCAACGAGGAACCCATGCCGTCTCCGTTGCCCTCGTTGGATTATCCGCCGCTTCTCGCGACCCCCACAAAGCAGTGGTTGAACGGCGATACCTCGAATTTGTCGCTCGGATCGCTTCTGAACGTTTTGGAATCGCCAATGAAGTCCCACACAGTTGTCGCCGATTCAAACTCGAACCTTGAATCAAAACTGCCTGATGTTGAAAGCCATTTACAATCCCTCATGAACGAGTCGAGCTTAGACTACATGACGAAGTTCGCAGATCTAGCTGCACAAATTGCTCGACAGCCTACGGGAACGTCGGGAACGCCAGGGGACTTGTGAGTGTTTGTGCGTTGTGGTTTCTTAATCTGTTCCCGCCAGGATGGGACCTTAAGGAGCGCGTTGTATCCACGACAGCGGTGTTTGTCTACTTAATGGAACGTGTATAGAGTCGAAGTCAGTGTAAACAAGAACGAGTGAAGTTGCTCAGTCGCAGTCGCCCGGCTCGGATGAGGTCGGTTCATGACTGATTATATTTATGTATCTAAAGTGAAACAGAAATGCCCAATGCGTAATATGAGTTTGTTGCTCGATCATCAAAAGTATGTGTACATATATGCGAGTTTTGCAAAAATTCTATCCGTATCGAGAATAAACTACAACGGGGGTTTTTTAACGATAAGCTACGGGATGTTCTGTCGGTCAGCGGGAAACTGGTTGTCAGGGAGGTATCTAATCCATCATACATCATCTCGTATTGTATCTAATCGATGACACATTAGAGGGGCTGATCCCACGGGATATCGAGCACACTCACCAAATTATGACAACCACAACAAAAACATATTATTCGGATTAACTTACTCTCAACTCTCATGTACAACACGTAAGTTCAATAATATCTCGCCGTGAGTGAGCCTCACATTGAAGCCTGGAACGTCCCGGAACGGATGAAAACGACGCGGTAGGTCACAAGCTCTCATGTCGTCTGGATGTCCCAGAGGCAAACGCAGGAGCATCGGGCCGGACGTCTCTTGACAGTGCCCCACGCACGAGTTCAGCAGCATCGACCCGTAGCCCAAAAGATCGTCGCCTCCTGACCAGATGCCAAAACTTATGTACATGTTTTTCTTCGATGATGGTATTCTTATTGTCCGTCGGATACCAGCTGGAGGCTCGAACTGCTTCGTTCGCATGAATTGACAGCCGTTCGCGATGGCGTTCGTTATGATCTCATTCGGAGTGCCCAACTCCGAATCAAAATTTTTTTCTTCGTACATCGGCTCTGCGGATAAGCGAAGAAGTCCCGGACATCGGAGCTCGAGAGCCATTCGACCGCGGGTATCATTCTGTGCTTTGAACGTGACCACTTGTATTGGACAACTCTCCGCACCCGGACGCACGCTTTCTCTCTCGCGGCGTCCAACAATTCGACCGCTTGTTGAGCACTGCTCACTTCGACATTCTCCACGGCGAGGATGACGTCTCCCTCGAGGAAGCGCGCGTCCTCGGCCGCGCTAACGGGAAGAATTGAACTCACGATGATTTCGGAGCGAGAAACTTCTTCGGATATCTCAATCCGCTGCTGCTCGGTGAGAATCAGACCGGGATAGAAGGAGGTTTTCCTCTTGATCTCGAGATCGAAATACGCGGTCGGGGTCAAATTTACGAGGTCCATGTGTATCCAAGGAGTCGGCTCGACTGTAGCGATGAGATACATCTTCCCCTCCTGCACGGGTCGAGCCAAACTTTCGAAAGTCAGTTCGAGATACAACCTCTCTTGATATACGGCTTCCTGCTTCTGTAGCATCGACCACTCCCAGGGAAGGAGTTTATCGTTCATCATGTATGTCGGGAATATGAGCTTCGATCGTATCGTCGACGACAGGGCGAAATCAACTATCCAACTGAGGAGCTTGGAACGAACCTCGCGGTTATTCGGCGTGGAAATTTTCTTTCGGATGAACCAGCGAGGCATATTTGTCAAACTTACGCGCAAGTGCGGATAGGGATTCGTGGATAGCGTCAGCAACACATTCGCGGTGAATTTCTCAACGATAACCTCGAACGTCACTTTTGTCTCCACGTTGAAATTCCTCTCGACAATCGGTAGGCTCAATCGGACCCACAAACGGACAGAGCCGGAGTACTCGGCTTCTATCGCGACACAAAGCTCTTCGTCGGAAACCCTTCTCATGGACAGTATATTCGGAACTTCGGAGCCCATGGAGAAATGTATCAAACGTAAATCGGCATAGCCGTTGAAAGCATGGTTAATGCCACGGCAGAGCTCTTTCTTCAGATACGATATCAGAGTTTGCTTCACAGATGTTCGGTTCAACTCGATGTATGCCCGCAGCAACTGCGTGAGAGCTCCGCATGCGCAAGTTTTTCGGGGCCGTTCATCGGTTTGAGTTGACGTGGTGGGACGTTTAGGGCTGAAACGTCCAGAGCTCCCGGGCTCAATTCGGTGTTGAGCGATATCGTGCCATACGTACCATACGAAGATCTAGAACGTGAAATGCGTGAAGTTTGAGTGCAATCTGCGATCTATTTCGTTATATATATCATATTGTGCGTTGCATTGTCGAGTCTAGTCCTCCCACCGGGCCGGTCGGCGCCAGCTGCTCATGGTGCCGAGCACCGACGCGGCGTTTCCGCAATGGACATCGAGCGACAATCTCTGGGCGAGGAATCGGCCCAGTCGCTTGTCCCCGGCGGCCCTCTCCAGAGCCTCACCGACCTGGGTGATCAGAGCCAAGGTCAAGGGACCGGGCCCTCCCATTGTTCCGAATGCAAGCGGACTGAAATGGTATCCAGGTGGCAGCTCAGCGTATTTCCGGCTCTTCGCAGCCCCAGCTCTCATGACGGCCGACCCTGCTCGAGACGCACCGGGATCGACCAGGGATGGGCCGAGAGAGTCGGTCACCGTTACGTCCCATACGAGGGCGCGACCCCTGGAGAACGGGATCAATGTGAGCCCGTCGGGCCGTTTAGCGTCGTCGCCCATGAGGCCCGTAGGCTCCAGTATGCAGGGGAAACCGGCTGAGCGGAGCGCTCGACTCAGCGTGTCGTTTAGAGCCGCGGGACGAGGACGGCGGCTCGCGGACAACGCACAGGAGAGGCCTAATGGGCCTGGCTTCCCACGGGGTCCCCGCAGGAGCAGCGGTGTGGCTCGATCAAGTTCGCGCCAAGTCGGAGGCCGACACAGATCCTGGCAGAGCAGTCGTTGAATCTTGTGCCTAGGGAGTCAGCCGGGATCGCGTGCAGCCACTCGCCGGCGCTTGGGCGTGACACCGCGAGCAATCGGGCACGGTCCTGCACGTCCGAGGCCTCACTGAGCAGGGCGTCGTGGGAGGCCTCGTGGAATTTGGCCATCCAAGCCCGCTGGGAGTGGAAGTCGGCGGCGTCGGGTGCGAAAGCGGATAGCCTCGCAGCGAGAGCTTCCCTTTTCGCGACGAACGACGACCATGTACCCGGCGGCAGGAGGTCCCTGATCAGATCTGAGGACGCGAACATGGAAGCGCCGGGGGCAGGCCCGACGAAGCGAGACCGCAGGTCTCGGTCGCGGTCGGGAGGCATGCCTGACGTCATTCTCTAGGGCTGAGCCTGAGGTTTGTCAGAGACTCGAGTGACTCCATGATCTGAGCATCCCATAGCTGCATGAGGCCAGTCGATTCCGAGCAGTCAGAGCTCCGGACGAGATGCTGTATGCGACAGGTAGAGAAGGAGGACCGGAGCAAGAAGAGACCCTGATGCGCGCCAAGCAGAGGGAGCTGCTCCCGCATAACCCATACCCTATCGGTCAACGAATCGATAGCCCTCTGACGGGCATCGGGCAACAGAGGCGCCTCGAGCAGGGTGAGCGACGACTCGTCGACAGAGATGCAGTCGGGAAGAAGAGCCATCAGATGCTCAAGAGATGGGTCATCAAGAGCCAGCTCAGGAGCGAACAGCTCGCACTTCGAAGGGTTGAGCTCAAGACCGCTGATCGCAGCGAAGTCGATCACACGCCGAACATCTCGGATGACGGTCTCGACCGCCCCCACCCCCAAGATTCCGTCGTCGAGGTACCACGCATTGAGGGGCGCCTCGATCGAACCAACAAGGTCCCGGATTCCGAGGCTGAAGACCGCTACACCGAGAGGACCTCCTTGCTGAATTCCAGTCGACGAGGACAGGACATCGTCGTCGAACAGCAGGAAACTCGGCTCCTGGTATGATTGCCGTATGAGATGGTATAGATCGGGAGCGGCGTCGCGCACGACTCGTAGCATGTGGTCCCTTCCGCGTTTGTTGAAGTTGAACGCGTTCCTGAAGTGCAGCATGAGGAACACTGTTCGGGGAGCACGAGCCAGAACGGCCGCCCGCGCAGTGTGGATCGCCGCATCCACTCCCCCTCTCCTACCGAACCCGAGCTGATGGGGGCCGAGAGCCTCCGTTCCCTGGTCTCGATTCTCGCGTCAGGCCAGCTTCGATGCGATCCTGCGGAGTGTTGATGAGCAAGCGATAGGGCGAACAGACGAATCCTTCACACGAAGAGCGAACAGTCGCGCTCCAAACAGGATCGGCCTGATCTCCGCCGGCACGACGCCTCTTCGGATGATGTCCACAACTCTGGCTAGCGACGCGGCCAGCTTGCGACCCGTGGCACCCAGAGAGGGGGCGAGAAGGTCTTTCAAGTGCCTGGGACGAAGGGCGTCCGGCCCCGAAGAAGAACCAGTGGGGAAGGAGGCAACTGCCGAAAGCAGCTCTTCCACAGATGTGTTGGGAAACGTCAACGGATCCGGAAGGGGCGGAGATCGTGCGGTGCGGGTGGATGCTTCGATTTAAGCGATGCCAGCACGCCGTCGTCAGACGCGAACTTATCGGTGGAGCAGAGCAGACGAGCGGCACCCGATATGTAGCCTTCTGCGAGCCTCGACGACACCCTCCGTGCCGTGTCGGTGGGTGCATCCGCAGACATCGCCCTCGAGTCTCCTGCCGTCTCGAAAAGCTCGAAAGCTCCCGCTTCGACGACGTAGCGCCTCGAGAGGCAACAGTGGCCGATGCTCCAGCGGCCGACTGCCGCGCGGGCACCGAGGTAAGAGACCTCCGGGGAGCGGGGATAGGCCGGTACCCGGGTAGGATCAGCGCGGCGGGAGGCGCCGGCGCAGTTCCTATCGTGACAGCGGGGATCACGATGCGACGGACGGCCGCGGCGTACGAGCCAGCAGGAGAAGCCCCTGGTGGCTGCGTCGGTGGTGGAGGCGGGTCGCAAACGCAGGTCGAGGCCGGCGCAGTGAGGCGCACGTGCTGCAGGACCCTCGAGCCAAGCAGGACCTTACTCTTCTCGCGAGCAAGCGCGTAAACAACGCAGGACGGATCACCGCGAGGGTGGGGACCCCGGCAGTCCACGAACCGTGGTGCGTTGACACACGATAACGCTAGGTGACCGAGACCTCCACAACTCCGGCATGCACGAGCACGAGAACAACGGGCAGAAGTATGCCCAGTTCGCTGACAGTTGAGGCAAACGAGAGGAGTCGGCGCCTCAATGTTGACATCATGCTTGCGCCTTTGGAAGCGCTGTTCCGTGAGTATGAATTTTCTTCGTACAGATGGAGCGCTGCAGCGCAGCTTCATTCCCGAAAGCAACTCCTCGATCCGTAAAATCCTCCGCGTGGAGGCTGACATGGGGAAAGTTTGGAGCGGAATCTTACACTGATGAGGCCCGTCATGAAGGCGTAAATAGAGAACATGCTTCGTCGTCCGACATATATGACGGAATCGACGCAGCATACATCAACCATCTTCCAAGCTGATGGAAGGACTCACGAAGCTAGCTCCCTCCTGCCCAGCCCCGCGGGACTACCTCTCACCGCTTCACCCGTCAGCTAAGCTCTTTCCCGATCGGCCGCCATAGTGGCCTCACGCGCCGTCCGATTCATGGACCCCCGACCGTTCCCATGTTTGGTCCACGAACTCGTTCGCAGGCCTTAAATGGATTAGGAAATTTCCTCCCCTTGCTGAATCGTTGTTGTTGCGATCGTCAAGACAGACAGCTTCGCGCTTCTCCGGATTCGAATTCAAAATCTGGCGCCCCTCTGTGTCGGCTGCGTATTTGTTTGGATTTTGCGTTGTCGGTAAAGTGCCGCATCACTGTGGAACCGGAGGAAATATTCGATCTAGTGAGCTGTGAGCAGCGAAAAATACTGTCAAGATGATGTCCCACGAGCCTGAGCCGTCGCCCACGACCTGTGGAGCTCCCCTGCTGCAGCGCGGCTTCGATCCATACCGAGATAATGCGGGGTGAGTACAATCTACTGGCTGAACCTCGGAACAAGTTTGTGTCACTCCACGATAGGTCGCTCATGACCGTGTTTCGACTCCTTGTTTCTTCCAATTTCGCCCTTTCCGAGGGGGCTTCGAGATACCTTGGGTCTGAGCTATGCCCCTACAGGACCGCTCACGGGCTTCCCATCTTATTTCAGAACTTTGGTTGGCATCGCCGGCGAAGATTTCGCTGTCATCGGATCAGACCTCCGACTCTCGTTGGGCTTCAGCATCTTCTCGAGGGATCAGTCCAAACTCTTCAAATTGTACGGCCATCAATGCTCCCCTCAGAACTATGATCATCTCCTTCGTCGACAACGACCACTGATTCTTGTACTAATGAGAGAGTGCTTGTCAACACCGGCTCGTTGAAGATCAGCCTCGGAGCGAATAACCGATGTGTGATTTCAGGACCGACCGGGCTGTGCTTGGGTCATCCGGCTGTTGGGCGGACTGCGTATCCCTGAACAAATTCCTGGAGATCCGTCTAAAAACATATGGATTCGAGCACAATCAACCGATGAGCACGAAAGCCATCGCCCAATGTTGCTCCACAATGCTATACAGCAGGTGAGTATTTTTCCAGGCTCTTCGACCATGACATCGTCCCTCACACCTAGGGATTCGCCACGTAAATACCTTATACGCAGGCGATTCTTCCCATATTTCGCGTGGAACATCCTTGCCGGAATCGATGAGGATGGGAAAGGAGCAATTTACTCCTACGATCCCGTCGGTAACTTTGAGCGGGTACCGTACCAGGCCGCCGGAAATTCCGGACCGCAAGTGCTGCCATTCCTCGACAGTATCGTAAGTGGCATGCAAGATTAAGTCGGAGAATCGCATGGTCCCCATTTTCTCTTACTCACCAGAACCGTTTTTCCCCAGGTCGGTAAGAAAAACCAATCGAATCCGGATAAAGCCCCGATCACCAAAGAGCGGGCCATCAATTTGATAAAAGACATATTCATCTCGGCCGCCGAGAGAGACATAACCGTTGGAGACGGAACCCACATCATCGTCATCACCAAAGACGGACTAGAAGAGATTCGTCTTGACTTGAGGAAGGATTAGATGGGCAAAATAAATACCAGATGTTTTTATATCGTCCGAGTGCCTCATCGCATTATAGTTGAATTATCATTATGATTATGATTATTATCATAGCATTATTGCCGTATGGTGGTTGTTTGTTCTACGACTTGTATGCGTGCCTCCATCGAGGATCATCTAGCGAGGTAAGGCGAAAGAGCACGGCACCGGATTCCGCGTGTGGCGATTGTCTCAACAATTCACTGGATGAACGGGAGATACTCATCTCTTCTGTGCAGGGGCGGAACCTTAGATCAGCTCATGCACGAGCTTCCTCAATCGGAGCAGGTGATGATCGCGTGATCGATGTAGGCGTCCCTCTGACACGACAAACGATCTTCTGCATGGGCAAAATTATGTCAACTCATGAGTTTCCGTTATATCCCAAGAATCCCGAGAATCGTTGCTTTTCGAATGATTTTATTCGTCAGGATACGACCGGATTGCTTCGGCTTCCCCATAGGTCACATCGCTAAATCCGGAAATTCGATCAATCCAATCTCTGAACGGGGCGACTCGAGTGAAGACCGGAGGAAGTTCTTGAGACCCGCATTCGTATCCGAAGCTCGATATCCCAGTCAAGGAATATTGGTTGCCTCGTTGGCAAGCCAGAGGTCCTCCGGAATCTCCGGGGCAGACTCCGAACCCATCCCGGTCACCCCTACCGGCACAGATTTTTGTATCATTCATCTCAGTAGTCATCAAGTTCTTGTAACGCGTCTTGCATACGTCCCTGAAAATCGAATCTTCTGTTTCATTTGCGCAGGGCCTCGCCAGATGCTGCTCGATCGCTGGCAACTCACTCAGTGCGCCGCGAGAAGTTCTCCGGAGTACTTACAAAGGTACGATCGGTAAGGAAACCTTAAGGAGGATCGGCGAACTCGATTCCAGGTCCATGAAATGCGTTTGACCCCAGCCTGTCGCGACACAAGTCGCACCGTCGAAATTGTGCGTGTCCTCGGAGCTCGGCAGACATATGGGAGACACCCTCTCCGAAAAATGCAATGGTCCGTCGAGTCTAATCAAGGCTATGTCATTCTGGGATTTCGGACAGAGAAACAGGATTAGGCACGCGCGATATCTTACGAACGACGAGCGAGAGTTCCGTCGTCGAAGTCCAAAGGGTCTGTCAAAGAATCAAAGTCCAAACCGATAATTATCCTGTCGCTTGATTTACGTACCTGAACACCGTGAACATTCCAACCCTCATGAGTTACGAAGCGCGACACGTTGCGCGTTTGTGTGAAAGGGGTCTTCCTGTCCCAGAAGTGTGCTCCGGCAACGACCTGAAAGCGATCGCGCGGATCTAAACACTTTCGATTTCTCCGGTTTCCGAAAACCCGCTCCAAATAAGAACATTTTATCCATCATGATGGCACCCGTGTCGTGGATTCTGTGGCCCGGAGAAAAAATAATGCCTTGGCCGTTTAGCGGAAGGGAAAGACCTTCGCTAGCAAATGATTGATAAATATGTTGTGCAATGCCGTCGGGTCGTCGAGACAGAACATTCATTCGGTATTGTCAATAGAACGTTTTCCAATCCGCCTTTCTCCAAGTGTTGCGACGGGACCACGTCCGAATTCAATCAAGGCTGTTCAGAAAACAACTTTTCTCCAACCTCAGGGGTGTGTTTTTGGGAAGAGTTCCCCTAGGACTCTCGTGCTCGACCAGGTCACGGGCAATCGGATTGAGTACGTATAGCGATCCTATCCCGACGCGTTGCAACGAACCTTCATGTCTTCTGGTTCTCGGGACACGAGACAGTGGGCAGCCGTCACTATCCAATTTTCGTCGATAATCGAGCCGCCACAAAAATGATCCCATTCACCGAAGAATCTCGCCTAGTCGGAGCAGAATTATGGGTTTTAACGTCGTAGAATCAGAGGTCGTTAGCATCGAGAACCTTCAGGAGCCTGCGCCCCGGATATTAATTTTGCACGAGGAAAAAAGAAGAACTTAAAGAGCTCTTCGCGCGTTGTCAAGCACTCCTCACCTGTAATGACACCATCCATGGGAACTCGTTGGGGCTGGCTTCGGTACCTCCGAGAATGTAGTTCGAAACTAGATTCCGACGACCACATTCTTTGGCCGAGGAAACAGCGAGCAATATTCCCAAGAGTATCGTAGCGGGACTCATGTTCCCGCGCCGGGTTCATGCAAAATGTTCGGATTACAACAATAGGTAGATCCGTCCTCAGCCAACAGGGACATTTTGGTCGGTTCTGTGCCGTGAGTCGTAGGTGTGGCCCGTGAATAATTTCCTCGATCATGAGCATCATGGATCATGGCATGTACCGAGCACCTGATCGACCTGATCGATTATTATTCCATCGCAACTGACTTCCGCTGCAGACGTCGTCATTATCAGTTTTGTGCGATAATTTCGAAGATTCATGGTTTTTCCTCAACTATTACCCGAAGCAGCTTCACAGCGATGATTTACAGCGCTTGAAAATGCCCTCTCAACTTGTTGTGACTGAGCGAGGTAAAAAGATTTACACGAACACATCTTGATCCTGAACGCCCGGCGCCAAGGTTGCGCCGAATCTCGTGGCTGAGAGATTCGTTCGAGCACGGCAGGAAAATCGCCGCGTTTGTTCTCGAGGAGTGGATTGAGTCGCACTTCCTCTCATGGAGATTCCCAGGATTAGGGAACGCAGCCCGCACATGGTCACGAAGCTGGACGTTGCCATGCGCCTTTGAGTATTTCGAAGAGTCGAAGAATTCAAATGATGCCGCCACTTCTACTCGATCTCTCAACTCCTTCGGATCAAGGAAAAGCTCGAGCAGAAAAGTCGGAAGTTGTTGCGAGCATGATGAGCTCGAGTTTCCTCTAGTAGGAACCGAGAGGAACTCCCTTCTGATTTGCCGACGATTGCTGAGACGACTTCCGTTCCCATGACCTCGGGCAAGATACTCGCGACTTGGAGCATTCTCGATCGCCTCCACGATTCTCCGGTCAAATTCAAACCAGACAAAGAGATGAAGAAGACCCTGTCGGGAAGAAGGAAAAAGCGGCTTCTTGAACGCTTGCCTAGTTACGGCGAAAGAATAATTTTGCGCGGTCGGATGCCTAATCGTACGAATCCTCGAGTGACTGCGAACGCGGATATCCTCGGAGAACGCTCGTCGTCAGCAACAGACCGAGGAGACATATGATTCTCGAAGAAAGCGAGAAGAAATATTTCACAAACAATTCGGGGGAGACACAACAGAGCTAGCAGACGCACATTCGCTCTCAAAAGTTGACACATTGAGCGTGTACGCCGCTGGGGATATTTTATCTCTCGCACAGATCTGCCAAAAAATAAGCCAAATCATTCATTGTTGACCGCTGAGTCCCGTCGATTTTCGAGGAAATAGTATTACGAACGTTTCTCCAGAGCACCTGCGTCGCATCACAAGTGAGTTCGCGATCGGGCCGCTTTCGATCTCGCTCATGCGAAAAATGCTCCTAGCAGAAATTCGCTCTCATCTGGATCCCTCGAGTTTCGCGGGAGCTGTCGGATTCGAACGATGAATGTTCTGGGCGTAGAGCGCTGCACCAGTGGAGTCTCAAAGTTCTCGATGAATTTTCAGTGGATGAATGTCCCCGTATGAAAACCCCCTACTCGGAGGGCGTTGGCAGGCTGGTGCGAGGTACAGAGAAAATTTGGGTCCTGATGGAAGAACCTCAGAAGGTCGTTTGGAACCTGCCAGATGATGTTCTCAGCGAAATGGCACGAGCGAGCAACGAAGACAGCCAGAAGTTTCTGGAAGATCTGTTCGATGTGCTCTCATGGGCGCAAGACATCGTTGTTCGCGTCGCCTTCACGAACAACCGCGTTCTGGCGGTAAGTTGTCCTCCTTCGATGCTCTCGTCTCGATGCGATTCCGTCCTCGAATCAGCGCCCGACGATTTCCTAATTCGCGGCACCGCGAATCCCTTGGCAGCCCCGGGATGCTCTCACTCAGTTCATCGACTCCTTCCGTGGAGTCACCGGGGTACGCCGTGATAAGAGGGGAGTATGGTGAGTATCGGGCTGAATGACGATCATCCGGTGCCGGACCGTATCCTGTCTAACCTGCGTTATTCTGTTTCCGGTCGGTCAAGGTGAGGATAGACGAGATCTTGATTGATGGCGTGGTCGCCAAGGTGGAGCCTTATTGTAGCGAACTTCAAGCACCTCACGGCCGGATTTTGAGGGTCGTCCAGAGGCTCTTTGACGGGAACACTCCCAAGCTCCATGAACACTACAGTCTAGGGATCCCATGGGATCGTCGTAACCTCAAGTTCACTTGGGCTTCAAGCGTGCACATGAGATCTGAAACCTACAGGAACAGTTTGCCGAACGAAGCAGGCTCCGTCGGAATCCTCTCATTACTAGCATCGAGACCTCCTTTGACTGATGCATCGAAAATAAATGAACCAATGGACTCCTCGGCAATCCCAAGGATTTGCCGTATCATGAGCAAGAGCACTCAAACAGATTCGTCCGTTACGCAGGAAAATGCGGAAATCCAAGATGCCGTCAGAGGTGCTTGCGTCGTGTGTGCTTTCTGTGTCGCGAAAGGACCAAGGGAAATTAGTTTTGACTCGGATCCATCCGACAGTGGGATCTTCGACGACGGTGTCTCCTTATGACCCGCTGTGTATTCCACGGATGCGAGACCGATCATGAGATATCGAACGCATCTGTGAGTAGGCTTGCTGAGTAACCGAGAAGCGAGGGAAGAGTCAATTGCGCTCGAGTCGTGTGGTATTTCCCGAGAGAATTTTGCTGAAAAATTTGAACATTCAGAATCCCTCATTTCCACCAGCGTACTATGTGCATGGGTCCTGGATTTGCCATCCCGAACCTTGAGCTCGGTTGCATCGATCTTCCCTTATTTCTGCTACTCTTTTCCATCATATTTTTCTGTTCATTCCGATTCCATGAAAGACCATTCTTTTCGATTTCATCCAACATTCAAAATAATTATTACGACAGACCCATTATCACCCATGTTCGCAAAGTACCGGCTTAATTCCGGTTTTCGTATCGATGTCGAGGGTTTACGTTGTGGACATATAAAATCTGAAGCTACATAGGTAGGTGTTATAATGTTCCGAAGCCAATAAGTATCTGAGCCCTTCTCCAGGAGGGATTTTTATGCCTCGTCAGGGAATGTAAAATAAAGCTTTGCTTTTCTCCTTGTCCGTTCTGCTTTTACTTTGATCCACTCGATCTGTGTAATGACTCCCCGAATAATTCTAATTCTGGTCGCAGTAGTCCGTTCTTGCGCCCCCGGTAGAAAGAATTTCACGCGAGTCACCTGGCCGAGACCAGGCTCGTCTCGGGGTGCCGACTGCGAGCCAGGGGCGGAATCCTCCCAGGATATGCCGAAATGCTGAGGGTCTGACCTGATCGACCAGAAAGTATGAGAGAGAGGAACGCTCAGAGGAGATTCGCTGTTGACAATTTCCAGCGCCTCGGAGACCGTTTCTGGGACGGGACAGATCAGCCGCGTCGTCATCGATATCCCGATGGAGCTCCTCGTCCCCCCGAAAATTTCAGCGTAGTCGATCCACCGTAGATACGTAACGGAATCGTCGCGATTCGCTCTTAGTTCTTATGTTCGGAGTGCCTCGTAATCAGCCTGCAACGCCGACGTGATCGTGAGCCAAGGACGATTCCTACGGCCATGTCGGCGCATCTGAAAATTGCGTACGGATACGAGCTTCTGGGTTGCCTCTCGCAGCCCGAGCAAAGCTTCGTACTTTTCCTTCCTGGGCTTATTCACGAGAGGTCGAGCTCGGGGAGGATCCCATGCCGTGCGAGACGTCGTGTGACAGAGTTTTCCATGCTCTTATAAGCAGAGCGGATTCCTGCGATGGGATTATCAAATATCTGATCAACTCGTTTCCAAACGTTCATCGAGATTCCCGCGAACAGGAGAGGAGGAGCGAGACGACTTCCGGAAAATGATGACTCTCTTCCGCTATCGACTTCCTCGACCCGGCGTTCGTGAACCGCCTCGCGTACCTGATCCGTATCGATGTCACTGTCAGAGCTCCAAAATCGTGGAAAGCATCATCATTTACATATGTATATGCGAGCGAGACGCCCCTCCGGGGTCTGGGGTGCAGACCGGATCGTAGAGGAGCGAAGGTGACAGCATTGTGCCTTATAAATAACCCGGACGCATCGAATCCCATCTATCCGACAGCGAGTTTCTGTGTCCCGTTGCTCGGTTCAAGGGCCCTGCGAGATCAAGGTTCCAGTCAGAAAGCTATACGCGCTTATTAGGTTACACTTTCCATCTTTGTTCTCATGTATTTCCACGGGACAAAATTTCGTTCGTTTTCAGAATATCAGTGGATCGTTCCGTATCTCCCGTAGCGTTGCGGAATGCCCTCTCGGTTTTGGAGTCCTTGGTTCTGTTGCCACCGCGGTCGCCGCAAAGGCCGGGCGGGCCTTTTTGCGCCAGCAGACGCGCGCCACCGCTACACATCGACCGCCGCCACAACGGCGAAACGATCAAAACTTGTGAACGAATAATTTCCAAGGTTCTAATCAGTGCGGTTTTATGCTATCGCCGCACCGCATTCTGCAAAAGCGAAACGGTCGAAGCTGCAGAGCGAATTAAACGGCGTCTGTGATCGATTGCAAGCGGCGGCGGCGGCGCCAGGGCGCGGGATCGACAGAGAAAAGTTGTTCTGTTAGAAGGAATCAATGCGACGGCGCTTTCGTTGCCCTTCTGTAGATCCAATTCCCCGATATTCGCCGTGGTATGTCGACACGCACGCACGCACGCATCGCCGCCGAAAGTAGTAGTAGGTAGCTCGCGATGCATCCATGTCGTGCTCATCGGCTTCTACCACTCGCCCGATTGACTGATTAATCACATGACCGGCCATCACGTTAATTCTGTCTGTGAACGGAAACCTGCCGACGACCATCATCGCTGCGACGTCTGGAGAAGGGAAGAGAAAGGAATAAACTCCCGCTAGTCTGTCGTCACCGTTGCGTGGAAAATCATTTCGTCGACCGGAAGATTGTGGAACGTCAGATTCTGGGTTTCGACCGACCGACCAGCCAAGCAAGCGACTGAACGAACGAAGGACTGAGTGACGACGAGAGAACTTCACTTTTTCCTCTTCATTTCTTCTCTGTCCGACTGCGCAGAACGATGAAGTCTGGAACCAAGTGGGTCGGTTCGTGAACCGTTTCGAGTCTCGCTATTAAAATCCCCTGAATCGTAACTTTCACGGAAAAATCGCCTTCCGTCTGCAGAAGAAATCGCTCGAATCGTTCCCATTGTCCTGTCCATTTCGTCACTAATTATTGTTCCCGTCTGTCGTAAGCTGCTTCGGCGTTTGTCAACGAGTGGAATTCCGAGATACCGACGACGTCAATGACAACAGAAAAATGTCTCCGGAATCTTCCCCTGCGGATTTCGCTACGAAAGCGACCGGCGGCGCCTGCTTTCGCTGATTAAGGAGCTCGCTTCGGCAAACGAAGTCGTGCGAAAAACAAGCGAACTCAAGGGCGTTCACAAAGTAAAACAATCAACTTTAAACGGCTCGACGAGGAGGCTCGTCGTTCAGCGACAACGCATATTTGATTGTGTCGTCTCATAAACAGCTTACTACCGTATCATTTCCTCGCTGGAAGTACTGTGACCTCTAGAATTATATCGGCTCGCCGATGCGCTCGCTCGCTCTTCAGATAATGACGATAGCGGTGGCGGCGACGACTCGGAACGGTAAACTTTCGCCGGTCAAGGAAACGGTCATGGAAACGAAACAAGACGCCGGTGACTGAGCGACAGCTTGCCAGCCAGCCTGCCTGCCGGCTCGCTGGCTGGCAAGCGAGCCGGCAGAGCCCTGGAGGCCTTTAGGGGATTTTCTGCCTCCGAAAACTCTTGATCTATCACTCGGTGGACAACTTCTACGTGATAAAAGCTTCATCTTCGAGCTTTGGTGCGCGCCTTGGGTACGAAGCGACGGCGGCGGCGGCGGTGGCGGCGGCGGGTAAATAGGTCCGGTCCACGTCCATGCGCCTGGTCCACGTTCACGGACGGTGTCGACGACGAGGGCGGCCGACGGCAGGCAGGCTGGCTGCCGTGCCCTTACTGAATTCGCTCGACCGAACAATACCCGGGCTGCCGCCGCCGTCGTATGATCGCGTTCGCGTGCCGGAACTACATACGGCACCGTCTAGACAGACCGCTGATTCCGGCAGCATTTTGAGGCCAAGGAGAGACTCTGGCAATGATCCGCCGCCGAGAGGAATATCCCCACTACAGTATCCGAACCACTTCGCTAATGAGCGTTTCGGAAACATCTAGGTTATGGTAATTGGTACGCATGATGATTGATAAGAATTTATCGCGCCCCACATAATATACAGCCGACTTCCGGTGGTGGCGGCAGCTCCGCTCGCACGGAATCCGCTCGGGAGCTTGCGTGGAATTCCGGGCCGGAATTCCGACTCTCGCTCGGAAGGAACCCCCTCATGCTCCTCTCCGTTGGGTTTGTCTGGGACAAGCTCGTTGGGAGGAGTTCCCCCCTTCGATCCGAAAAAAATATCGATCGGGTGGGACGCGGGGAAACTCCGAGAAAACGCGATGAATCCCTCATCCACTGCAAATGTAACGGAACCGTCGACGGTTTTCGTTCTCCAACTCGGGACTCAGCGAGCGACCGACGCCGCCTGATGGTCGACCGTATACGGTACGCCGTTGCGCCAACATACCGATGTCTCCTTCTCCAAGGAGTTCACAGCGATCACGTACGGTTTGCAAGACACGTTAGTCTGGTCGACGTCGACGGTAGCTCCGAGCTGAAAGGGAATTTTTTCTGGGCACTCCGAATGTTTCAGCGCTCATTGACGAAGTAGACGGCGGCTGCGGCTTCATCGACGACGATGACGACAACGCTCGCCGCTTTTGCGTAACACGGGTCGAGGAGTCCGTCGTTCGTCCATGAGTGTTGGCAAGCCAACATCATCGCGGCAGCCGCAGCGGCGACGGCGGCAACAGCAGCAACCTACTGGCCCACTCACTGGCTTGCTTGACTGAATTGCTGGAGCGTCGCGCTGGGCCTGACCCAGTGCGAGAGCCCCACTCATTCACTCGCTCCTTCGGCTGCTCGCTAACGAGCGGACTTTTTCATTTCCCATCGTTACATCAGTTGAAACGGCGATCCAGAGTGAGTTTCGGCTCCGCTCCGATTTGAGCTCCTTCATTCAGACGCTTGTGGCAGAATTCCAATGACAGGGCATCAAGAACGCTACAGGAGAGGGACAGATTCGGAGAAAGAAGCGGACCACAGATCCGCGTCCGACGTATCGATCGAGCCGATAATCGAATCCCGGAAATTCCATTTCCCGTCTAGACGTCAGACTCGGCGACTCCTCCTCAACATGGACCCCTCTCCCGCGTGGAGTCAACTCGGACGTGGATTCTGAACTCCGTTTCCTCCTCCCAGATGGCTTCCGAACGTATTCCTTGCTCTTCGGCGACGGCCAGAAGTTCTCCCCGGACTGGCAGACTCCAGGAAGTTCAAGCCCAAGAGCGACCTCCCATGTATCGATTTCTTCTTTCTGGACGTCGATCATCGGCGAAGTCAATTTTCGCTGTTCCGTCTATCGCTCCTAAACGTGATGTTCCCGTTGAAGCCGTTGGCTTTCGAAATCTGGATGGAATCCAATCCTCGACGTCCCGAGCCGATACCGTTGAAACCGGAAACTCCATTTCGTCCGGTCATGTATTATAATGATTCTTCTTCCATTGACCTTCCTCTTCGGAGGATTCCGGGGAAGAAAAAGTTCAAGATCATAGCATGATTATATATTCTGTCATGAGAACGTTCCCAAATTTCCAGAAATTCCGGCATCCTGCTTTTAGCAGAGATTTCGGTTTCTGTAGGCGAACGTGGTAGTTCTTCGGTTTTCTCCGTCGCAGGACCCGAACGGAGGGCAAGGGTTGATCCGGGCAGTCGCAACGTAGCTCCGAGCACTGGTGTGAACACTCCTGACTGAGGAATAATAGAGGAACAGAACGGCGTGAAACAGATTTACATACAATGAGCAGACAAGCCGATGCGTCTCAGTGATTTCTTCCAGAATCCTTCGTCCAGGATGCTGCTCGCAGACCGAATATCTGCACCGCAGCGCATG